AAAAAAAAATCATACACCAATTCTTCCTCCACATTAGTCTTGGTTTGTAGCCTTTTCAAGTCAAATAATTTACCATCAGTGCAGTAGCTGACTTTGATCCCACATTTGTCTTTGTTGAAGGTGTGCATACATTGCTGAAAGCTTGCTAAAAAGCAAACAAGCTATAGACAGAGTAAACAGAAAATCATCAACTGAGGAAAGGTACTAGAATTAAGAGGAGATTCAGAAAGGCTTACTGTATAAGGTAGGATTTAGGTGGGACTAGCTGAGACAAGGAAACTAGAAGCTTAGAGGGTGCAAGGGGAGGGAGTAAAGTATAAGAAGACTGGAAAAATGTGTGTGTGTGTGTGAGTGTGTGTGTGGGTGGGTGAGGAACTGTTATGAAAGGGCATAGTTAAGCTAAACAAATTCCCACATTGGTCATGTCCACAAATGTGTCTCATACTGTCTTTTTAGTCCATCCCCTCTCTGTCAGAAGGTGGGGTGCATCCTTTATCATCAGTCCTCTGCAGAGTGGTTAGTCATTGCATTTATCTGATTTCTTAAGTCTTTCAAAGTTGTTTGTTACAGTACAAAGTGTTCTCCTGGTTCTGCTCACTTCACTCTACATTAGTTTATACAAGTCTTCCCAGGTTTCTCTGAAACCATCTCTTCATCATTTCTTACAGCATAACAATATTTCTGCACTTATATACTGTACTTTGTTCAGTCAATCCCGGATTGACGAGCAGCCCTTTAGTTTCTAGTTCTTTGTCGCTACAAATATTGTTTTGTACATGTAGATCCTTTTCCTTTTAGAACTCTTTGAGAGTATAAGCCTAGTAGTGGTATTGCTAGGTCAAAGAGTATGCACAGATTAGTACCTTTGGATGACATAGTTCCAAATTGCTTTCCAGAATGGTTGGACCAATTCAAAGAATAGGTTATTTAATATTTCTGGGCCGTGATTTCTGCATTTGTAAAATGAGTAGGTTGGAATAAAATGATCTTCTAAGGTCTAAAACCCTATGATCTTTTTTTTTCCTTTTAAACTTTTTTTATTAATTTATTTTGATTTATCAACAATCACTTTTATAAGCTTTTGAGTTTTAAATTTTTCTCTCCCTCCCTCCCCACCTCCCTCCCCAAGACAGTGATATAGGCTATACATATTACATTCCTATTAAATATATTTTCACATTAGTGATGTTCTAAGGAAGAATTAGAACCAATAGGAGGAACCACAAGAAAGAGGAAACAGAAGGGAAAAAAAGAGCAAATAGTAGGCTTTAATTTGCATTCAAACTCCATAGTTCTTTCTCTAGATGTGGATAGCAGTTTCCTTCATGAGACTTTTGGAGATCTTTGCATTGCTGAGAAGGGCTAAATCTATCAATGTTAGTCATCGCACAACGTGGCTGTTACTGTGTACAATGTTCTCCTGGTTCTGCTTACTTCACTCATCATCAGTCCATACAAGTCTTTCCAGGTAAAACCCTATGATCTTAATGACTTCTAAGGTCCCTTTTTAAATCTGTAGCCCTATGATTTCAATCAGCTATAACTAAGTGCTATTTCATAGCACTTCACTTTTCTTATCTCATTTGATCTTTATGTAAAGGGAGAAGGTTCTTCTCTACTTCAGTTGAGGTAGTCACAGAAAGCCCAGAACATAACCACAACTAAACAGAGTTAAGCCTCAGTCATCCTATGAGGTACAAACACCTCTCTAAGCCAAGAAGGAAACGACACTGCTAAGTAAACAAATTAGCAAAATTTTGGACAAATGATGGCCTTCCCAAGATGGAAGAGTTGGAGACACCACAAACCAGGAAGTGCTTGTGAAAGAGATCTCTTCAAGATTAGGGGAGAGAATCTGTTTCTTTTTTCCTGAAAGGGGAGCTACTAGTCCAGGAGGAAAAACTGCATCCAGCAGACAGCCTCAAGACGAACACTTCAGAGAGACAAAGATAGAGGGAGATAGTCACCTGTGGAAGAAAGTAGCCAATGTGGGATTGCAAAGGGGAAAAGGATGTCCAGGCCCTGCAGCATCACAAGTTAGAAGTTGCCATGAAACTTCCCCACTATTAACTGAGGATACACTCTCTCACAAATACATAAAACATTCATGGGAAAAGTAGGCTCAAACTTTGCATACAATGGTAGTGAAACATGCATGTAGAATGTACTTGTAGCAAAGACAACTCACAATTACTGGTACCCTAGGCCTAGAATTCCATTCTCTCTTTGTAGAGTCCTTTAAAAGCCTTCTCCCTGCTCTCCAGTATTGCTAAGCTGGTTGAACCTAAGAACCATAGCTATTATTTACCCCCATTTTACCGATAAGGAAACAGATGTAGAGAGGTTAAATAACTTGTTCATGTTCAGACAGCTATAGTGACAGGTTAGATTCAAAACTAGGTGTCTCCTGACTCTAAGTCCAACACTTTTCCTACACTATTCCCCCTTTTCTCATATGAATAATTTAAAAAACAAAAACCATAAATGCTATGGGAGTTTATAATAGTTGAAGTATCACTTCAAACTGGGATGATTCCTTTAGGAGGTAGAATCAGTTGGGTCTTAAAGATGAGTGGAATTCCAATAGAAGGGTCTAGAACATAAAGGTAGACATTGAAAAATGAAAGGTGCTCTTGCCATTTGGTAAATAGATCAATGATGCAGATAGAGGGTGCAATGGATAGAACTCTTGGCTTGGAGTCAGGAAGACCTGAGTTCAAATTCAGCCTCAGACACTTACTAGTTGTGTGACCACAGGCAAGTCACTTAACCTGTCTGCCTCATCTGTCAAATGAGCTGGAGAAGGAAATGGCAAACCACTCCAGTATCTTTGCCAAGAAAATCCTAAATGGGGTCACAAAGAAAAGGACCAAACTGAAACGACTGAACAAGGTATAGATCTCTGTGGTTGGAACGGAATGTCAGTCAACACAAATTTATTAAGGACCTGCTATGTGCCAGGAACTGTTTTAAGAGCTGGAGATACAAACATGGAAAAAGAGAGACAGTCCCTGCTGTTAAAGAGCTTACAATTTAATAGAATGTCAACATAGGGCAATATTAAGAAATCAGCTTGGAAAGGTAGGTTTTGAAGAACCTTGAATGTCAAGCTTGTTTAGACTATCCTGTGTAGGCAGCAATGTTAAAAGACTGAAGGGTTTTAAAGAGCATTTAATTGTGTTTGCTTTGCTCTTCCGGGCACCAACCATATCTTCGTGAGTGGCCTCACTACAGTCTATTCGCGCATAGACATGTTTCTTTGCTACCCATTAGAGGGAAAACAAAATGACAGAGTGGGAAGATGGACTCAGCCTACCCGGTTTATACAAGCAGCACTGCCTCTTACATGGTGACTTTCTGTTGTCAGCAACACAGAGGCGGTGAGGACGAGGCTTTTTTTCCAAGCGCATGGAAGCTGGCACACCTCCCCACCCAACTGGCCGAGTTAAGCCCAGCTCACAAGCCTGCCCCTCCACTTCCAAACTCCAGAAAGCCGCGCAGCCGCAGTCTAACCCGCAGAAAGCGAGCCAGACCAGGCGGCCGGGCCCGTGGCCAGAGTCCCTCAGCGAGCCAAGGCTGCGGGGCTCCCCTGCCCCTAGAACACCAGTTTCCTGATTGGTTCTCTTCGAGAAAGACGGGCTCTTTCGGCCAATCACGGAACAGTCGGGCAGCGTGCGTCTATTCCTGCACGCCTGTGGTTTTCCCAAAGAGTGTGGGCAGTTGGGCGCGGTTAGGAATCTGTGAACACTTAAGAGCGAACCGCAAGTTCTGCTGAATTCATACCACACCCTTGCCCTGGCCCTGGCGCCCCCACCCCCATCTGAGGCAGAACCATTCATGAACAAACCTGAGCACCCACCAGGCCACTTCCACCTCTAAAGCCTGTGCTCTGTGTCCCAGGGAAGTCCGCCCTACCCCAGAGTCCCCTGGTCCCCCACCGCATCCACTTCCAATGCTTTTAAAGGACTCTACCCCAGGAGCCCCTCCAGCTTCTTTGGACTCGGAGCCCTGGGTACCCATGGTAGGGAGGAGCGAGGGCCTTAGGCACCAGGAGTCCCGCCTGACCTGCAGCCTCTCCAGAGAAGGGAAAATTATGTAAGATCTTAACCCCTCCCCATTCTTCTTGAGACTGGGGCAGTGGATAGAACTCTAGGCCTAGATACAGTCAAGGAAGACTTGAGTTCAAATCCAGCCTCAGTCACTTACTAGCAGTGTGACTATGAGCAAGCCACTTAACTTTTTTCTGCTTCAGGGTTCTCAGCTGTAAAATGGGGTTAATAATAACACCAACCTCTCAGGGTTGTTGAGATCAAATGAGATAATTCTGTAAATCCCTTAGCACGTTTATTGTTCAGATGTGTCTGACTCTGTGACCTCATTTGGGGTTTTCTTGGAAGATACTGAAGTAGTTTGCCATTTCCTTTTCCAGCTCACTTGACAGATGAGGAAACTGAGGCAAACAGGGTTAAGTGACTTGCTTGTGGTCACACAACTAGTAAGTGCCTGAGGCTGGATTTGAACTCTGGTCTTCTTGAGTCCAGACTCAGAGCTCTAGTTGCTGGGCCACCTATCTGCCTCAAGCACATAGTAGGTGCTTAATAAAGCCTTCCTTACCTCCATCTGTCCCTCCCTTCTTTCCCCAACCCCCTTCAAGGCAGGTCGTAGATTTGGAGTTGGAACAAGCTGGATCAGCTTCACTAATAAGTCACTTCTCTCTAAGCTTCAGTTTGGAAGTTGGCCTAGGTATCTAGGGTCCCTTTCAGCTCTAAATCCCAATGTCTACAAATGAAGAATAGCACTGAAGTGTTTGGAAGAGATAAAAGCACCAGATAGAGGTAAAATGGGATTATCTAATATCCTTCTAGGACTCTTCCACAAATAAAGTTTATACTCCTTTCTCTATAGTCAGGACAGAGGAGAGTGGCTTGTCTCAGGAGGAAAATAGGGACAGAGGGCAGTGCAATGTGGGACGGGGAAGAGATGTAGCAAAAGGGACCAAATCCAAGACCAGTGTGTTTATTAGAAAGACAGTTTGTAGAGGAGGGGGGGTTTCCTTCCCCTTTTGGGACTTCGCTAAAGTTTAGCCAGGTGTGGTTCATTTTCCTTTGTGCTCTGGGGTGGGGCTGGCAGGAGGTAATTCAGTTGTCCCTGTCCCTGGCTGGTCCTTGGGTTTCTGGGCCACTCCAGCCACCAAAGCCACATTCCTTAGGTAGTAGGCATTGAAGCAGCTGGTCTGTCCATACCCAGGGGTCTCATCACAACAGAAATCAGTATCCCTCCATGTGTCACGTCGGGAGCCACAAAGATCTTCGATGAAGGCTGATTTCTATGAGAGTGGTTGCAAAGAAAAGTGTGGGGGTTCAGATTATTGGAAAGCAAAGACAACTTGGTGCCAATGGTTAAAGAAGATACATTTAGCCATGGAAAGATGTCGAAAATGCAGCTTTCCTAGAATTGTTCCTAAATGACTTTTTTTTTTTTGGCTAGCCAATGGAGTTAAGTGACTTGCCCAGGGTCACACAGCTAGTAAGTGTCAAGTGTCTGAGGCTGAATTTGAACTCAGGTCCGCCTGACTCCAGGGCTGATACTCTATCCACTGTGCCACCTAGCTGCCCCTGAATTGTTCCTGTTTTTCCTCCACCCCCCAGATCCTTGTCACTCTTTTCTCTATTTTCTCCCAGTGGTCCTTGTCAACCCCAGGCCCCCTTCCTCTTCCACTGGAACTCTTCCTAGGGCCTTTTTCGTGAGAAGCACAGCTCCTTTACTCCAAAGCTGGAGTCCAGATGACAGACAGATGTGCAAATCTGGAAATGCTACAAGGGGGCCTGGGAGTTGGAGATAGGAGAATGGGGCCTAGCTTGAGGCCCAGAAGAGGCATAAGAAGAATGGTGGTAGAGAATGGAGTTGAAATTTCTGGAGCTGAGAAAATTCTCCTCTTCTCCCTTTCCGCTAAAAAGGCCTCATCGCTTCCATTTGTATATTCAAGGTACCGAAGAGAACAACACATGTGTCTGGCCTACCCAGCATCCCCTCTGTCTCTCTCCTGCTCCTTACCTCCTCCTCTGCACAGAACCCTCGTTCTGGTGGTGGCAGCTCGCAGCATCGGGCCGTCATGTTCCGGATAAGCCCAGGAATCTGTTTACTGAATGGGGGAGAAAATAGCGTGCCTTGTAGCAACTTTCTCTCTTTTCTTCCACAGAAAATTCTCAGCTCAAATGATAACTCATGGGGGCCAAGCACGGACTCATGCCATCCTGCGTCACTTTCTTCATGGGATCGTAGGTATTTGGGGAAAATTAGACGCCTGCGAACAAGGCTTTGCATCTATTTCTCTGTGAGTACTGTGGAAAGGGAGAGCAGACTTACTGCTTGGTGAGCACCTTTCGGTGTCCACAGAGCTGGTTCATGGTATCAGGAGTAATCCGGCTGAGGTCAATGGTCAAGATGTCTCGATCGTAGTTGGGGTAGGGAGCATGGCGAGCAAAGCAGGCATCACGGGCTGACAGGGGTGAGCGGTGGCAGCATGTGTGGTGATGAGTCTTAATTGCCATTTCCTCCTCACAGTAACTGTCCAGAACATCCTCCCACTGTGGGAGAAGGTAGAGAGAGGTCAGGGTTGGAGTGGTGGGGACAGGGAAAGAGATAGGGACAACCCTCCCTCAGACTCTCAGGTCGGTATGTCATCGGAAGCTGTGAGGTTTGGAAGGTTAGCCTCATCTGAGGAAGGCATGGACCTAGGGCTTGTGAAGTCTACATGGGTGCGGGCAGAAAGGAGGAAGGTTGGAACCATTCATGGGGTATTGTCAGATAACCGCGGAAGGAGATAAGACAGGTCAATGGATGGACGGGGTAGGTTAGAGACTGGTGGAACATATCGGGGCCCCAGGTGGGTGAGGGCCAGAAATATTTGGGACCAGATGCTGGAGATGTTTGCAGGTTGGAGACAGATGAATGCATGTAGGAGATGGACGGATGGGCAGGATCAGAGGTCGGAGGTGGACGGACTGATGAACAACAGGACCAGAGGTTGGAAGCAGACTGCTGGGACGGGATCAGGCCGGAGGTAGATGGACTGATGGGCAGGATCAGAGATCAGAGGTAGACGGACTGATGGACAGACAGGATCAGAGGTCGGTCAGATGGTGAGACCACAGATTGGAGGGGCCTTCACTTACTGCCTGCCGGGCACAGGTGTGATTGTCTCCTTGGTGGCAGCAGCGCCTGAATTTGCCCTCCAACTGCATCAGGGCCCGGAGCTGCGGCTGGATGTTGTCCATTGATAGGAGTCCTCGGGGAAGAGATCGGAATCGCCGTAGACGGCAGATGTTCCTAACATTGCCCCGTGTGGGGACTCCTGGGGGGAAGGACAACTCCAGGCCAGAGGAAGGCCTGGGGGTGTGAGTGGGGCAGGGCCCAGGGAGAGGCTGGTAGTCTGGCAGGGAGGTGTGCTCTTGGAAGCAGGAGAGGCGGGCCTCTCCCTGATGCGAACAGCATGAGTAGGCTCTGGTCTTGACTGAGAACTCAGCCTCACAGAACCGAAACAGGGCATCTGCCCACTAGAGCAAAAAAAGCTGGTCATTCCAGAAGTCTGATGCCCACATCCCCTTCTCCTTTCAGATTCAGACACAGACAAATATCCAGGAAACAAACAGATCCTACTCTATCTACCTCCTTACTTGGGAGACCCAGAGCAAATATATTGAGAAAGAGAACCAAGACGCTCCATCACTTCCCATCTCAAGCTTCCTGCCTAGGTGCTCTCTTCCCTCCCAACTTGGCCCATGAGAACGTGGTCTTACTCTGACAATACTCACCACAGCCGTCGCACAATCCAATTGGTTTGTTTTGAGGCGGCAGCAATCAGTATATCCCGTCTCCAGAAAGTTGAGGGCATTACCCTGGCGGCTGAGGTGGGAGTAGCCGGTTTGAGGCAGGTTCCAGGGGCCATATACCACATGCTTACGTTCAGGGAAGCAGATCCGGTTTATGTTGTCTGGGGAAGGGCGCCCAGGGGGGAAGCCATCTAGTTTATGACTCCAGCCCCTGCTGTGGGAATCTTGCTGGCAGTGATGGGGCTTGTTGGGATGTGAAAACTCTGGCCCAGGATGTTCATTGATCATCTGGGGAGTTGTCATTTCTGGATCAAGGAAAGGCAGGGTGAGACAGGGGATGGGAGAAAGAGGAACAAGGCTATACCTTGAGGAGGTGGGGGTTGGGAGAAAGGAATGGGAGAAGGTGGAAGCTCAGGGAGAGGGTCCATTTAGTGGAGGCAGGTTATTGGAGGGAGAGACTGGAATAGCACAGAGGAGAAAGACAGAGACTGAGGCATTCATTCTTAGGTCTTACCATCTCTCTGGGCATTGGGGTGCCCTTCAGGATGAGAGGGATCGACTGGGAGAGAGAGGAAAGTGGTCAGAGATGGGGACCCCTGATTCGTAAAGCCCCAGGGACCAACTTTTCTCCTTGGACTAAAACAGGAGACTAAATAGGAAGAGGAATTTGATGAGGTAGCTAGTTTTGTATCATGGAAGGAAGTCAAGAGATCTGGGTTTTAGCCCTGGTTCTACCACTGACTAGCTGGGTCACTCTAAGCATGTTACTACCATCTCTGCTCCTCGGGTTCCTCCCTCATCTGCGAAATGATGAGGGTGGACTAGATGATCTCTGATTCCTTCCAGGTCAAAAATGGTATGACTTACTTTCTTTCTGCTCTTGTGGGGAAAATCCATGATCCTTTGGAGGGTGGAAAGGACACTCCACTGTGGTGGGGAGAAAATGGAGTAAGTGTAACTAACATCCCAAGGTTGGGACAGAGTCATCTCCAGAGGAGAGGATGTGTTATTCCCCTTCCTTGTTGGGGACAGTAAGAAGGGGTGATCATCAGATCCGAGAAGGGAATTTCTTTGGGGTCGGAAAGATCCATTGATGAAGTGGTAGAGGCAGGAAAGTAGACAGAATGAAAGGAATTACCTTCTTTCTGCTCCACGGGTAAATGCTGAGAGGGCCGCACCTCCTCTTGGAGAGGTATGGCTTCGTTAGGAATGGGCACTATTAGGAGGGGAAGAAGATAAACAAAATGTCTTCTCCTTTCACTAGACAGGGCCCTAGACTCAGAGGAGAAGGGGGTTCACATGGAAAGTCTCTGCCATTCTCCACCCCCATGAGAGCAAAGCTATATGGTACAAGATTGGGGTTGGACTGATTGGAGGGGATGGGAAATCTTCCAAAGGGTCAGGCAGTCTAGGCAATACAAGATGGTGTCTAATGGCAGTTGGGATATGACCGCTGTCCTGTGGAAAGGGGAATGGGAGTTGATTTGCTTGACCCCAGAGGGGCTGAACTAGAATTAATGGGTAGTTATTATATGGAGGTAATTTCAGCTCAAAGAGAGGAAAAACTTTTTTAACAGCTAAAGTTGTTAAAACTCTACTAATAATTTAGGATGCCGTAGCGAATTCACCATCATTGGAGGTCTTCAAGTGGAAATGATTTGCACGCTTTTGGAGGGTAGGAGGTGGATTGCTAGGGAACCTTTGAAATTTCTTCTAGTTCTTGGATTCTAGTACTCTGTGGGACTCTTTGTGCCTGGAGAGAATTGGAGACCCTGCCATCTTGGGAGACAGGAAGAGGGACAGACTACAGCGTCACTCACCTTTCTTCTCCAGAGGGATTCTCTGAGGTCTCTGTGCCTGCTGCAGAGGAACGTCTTCAAAGATGTCATCCACTGTGGGGAAAGGAGACAGGAAGGGACTGGGGGGAGCTGGAAGGCTCTAGAGGGAGGGAGATTTCCCTCCCTGTTTTTAGGTATCTGTTCTGCTACCCAACTCCCACCCAGCCCTGGAAGAAGGGAAGATGGAGCCAGACTTGAAAAGAGAAGATTTGGCATATATGCTGAAAGGGAGAGAGCTGGGACTTACCTGCTTTCTGTCCCTCAAATATATGCTGGGATGGGATGGGGTCTTTAAGGATGGGTTTCTGGGGCCTGGAAGGGGCAGGGGGTGCTGCATAGCCAACTAGGAGGAAATGGTTCAATCAGCCATGATTTCTAGGACCCTTCATCCCCCCACTCCCCCACACCTCCAAAACCCTCGTTACCTTCTTCTTGACTAAAAAACAGATGTTCTGGAATCACCTCTCTCTGTTCAGAAGGCTTGGGTCCTGAGGGGAAAACCAGGTAGAAGACTGGTCAGAGGGTCTGATATATTCCCAGTTCTTCTCCAGCTCTTTGCCAGTGAGTGTCTCTTGTTTTCTAACTATGAGAGGAACAGTGTTTGGGCAAGAGGGAAGGGCACGTACCTCACTGGCTCGCCTAAACCTGAGATGAAGAGATAGGGAGGCTGGGAAGGAGGGAGCTGGGACCAGGATTCAATTCGAGTCAGTGTTTTACTCTACTGTGAATTCCATAAGGACAAGGGACCACATCTTATTCACCTGTGTAGCCCCGAAGGGCCTAGCACACAGCCTTGTACCTATTGGGCACTCACATATTAAAAAAAAAAAATTGGACTGAATTTATTGAAAGCTACCGACACGCATGGACAAGCCCAGAGACTGACAGAGGGACCTCCTCCATGTCACCCTTGTTCTCCTTGCCTCCTTCTCCTTCCACGTGTTTTACTGAGATTGTCATCTGACTGGTGCCAGTGAGTGACCCCTCCATCCTGGCTCAAAGCCTCGCCCCAGCCTGGCCCGAAGGGAGTGTGAGGGTTGCTGAGTCATGAGGCTTTTCGGGGGCAGATGGAAGAGGCCTGAGTCTTTCTTTGGGCCTGGATCCCTGCCACTGGCTTTCCCTCAGGCCCCTGGGCTTTCCTAGGGCATGTTGTTCCTCTCTGCCCATGCCCACAGGAGCGTCTGCCGTATCTTCAGTGAAAGATGCTCTGGCTGGCTTCAGCTCCCATCCCACTGGGAGCACTGGTGTGGGGCCAGGCCCTCCATCCCTGCCCCAAGACCTTTTTTCTTCTCTCTCTTCCATAATTCCTCAGGCCCTTCTATGGTCTGTCCCTGATACACGCAGCCCCACCTACCCAGTCTGTCTCCACCAAGTAACCCATCCGGTGACTTGGATTAGCCCCCCCCCCTCCACTTTTTCCCCTTATTCTTGAAATGTGAGAACACAGAAGGCGAAGGCGCCTGGAGGAAGAGACAATGACCTAAGGGGCGATGAGGAGAGATATTTTGAGGAGTTTCTTTATCCCCAGCATCCAAGCTAGCTCAAGCATATGCAGCGAGATAATACACCTATCCAGTAAGATAATAAATATAAAGCGCTTTGCAAACCTCAAACCCTCTATGTGTTAGCTTTTATTATTATGTAATCTAACTTTCTTAATAGATGAAAAACTGAGACCCAAAGAGGTTGACTTGCCCAAGGTCTCACAGGCAGTAAATTGCATGCCTGGGATTCAAACCCAGGACCTCCGACTTTACATTCAACTTGCTTCCCACTGTAACATACCACCTGACCCCTTTTGGTGGTTCTCTTTCCCCTAACTCCTCTCCTCTGGCAGGGATGTTGAGGGCGTCTATGGGAGTGAAGAAACCGGATCTGAGCAGCCCCTCCCCTCTGTCTCTAGGATGCCTGAGTGAGCAGGTGGCGGTGGCAGGGCTCAGTGCTGGCCTCATCTTCGGCTCCTCGGGGAAGGAAGCAGCCTTCATCCTTCCTCCCCCCTTTTGGCCAGCCCCACTTCACTCATTGGTGAGGAGGATGTGTGGACACATTGCCGCCAGCCTCCCCATCCCCACCTTAGACACCGTCTCTTCCTCTGTGTCTCCAGCCTTTGCCTAGACAGGAAAAGGCACAAGCCCAGGGGCGGTGGGATACGAGGGAAGCTGCCTCTAGCCATCTATTAACTGCCAAACTAATCAGTTGGTACTGAAGCACAGAACTTTGGAGTTTGTAACAGAACTTTTCAGGTTTATAGAGACCTTTCCTCATACAACTGCCAAAATTTATGCGAGCAAAAACATTAATATTCCCATTTTACAAATAAGCAAACTGAGGCTCCGAATAGCTTATCCAGGGTCACAGTTATTGTTAGAGCAGTTTGAACCTAGACCTCAATATAAGACTCATATTGAAGTGTGCTTACCAGTATACAACACTGTCTTTAGTCAGTAACTCAGTTCCACAAATCTGTTAAGCACCTACAGTGTGCACAAGGCTTGTGCTAGGTGGTGGAGGGGGGGATCCTGGGACAGCTCCTGCTGGCATCAGTCCAGGCCCCAAGGAACTGGAACTCCATCCCCACCTCATCCCAGTCTTCGTCTCCCCCCCACCCCACTCGGGGCCCCCTTCCTCTTCTAGACCCCTTCCCCAGTCCTGACTCCAGCTCCCAGACTCACCTCCCTGAGAGGCTGAAGCCCCCAAAGCCAAAACCACGAAGACCAAGGCTGTTGTGGACAGGCACCCCATCGTGGGGCAGGCGTTGGGCATCAGAGCCCAGACGTTCTCGGGAGTTCTCAGGGACCAAAGCCTGTCTGTGGTTGCAGTTACTGCTGTTGTGATTTCAATGTGGTTCTGCCTGCTTTTATAGGGCCAGGCCTTAGAGCTACCGCCCTCCCCCAGGGCTTCCTGATGTGACTCACTCTAATCCCTGGCAACTTCCACTCCCCTCCCCCAGCTAAGGCAGAGGTCACAAAGATGCCTGTTCTGAGTGGGGGATTCCTAACTAGCAGAATTCCAGGGGCCCCCTGGAGTCGGCTCCTTGGGATTCCCCTTCTCTGACCTGATGGGAAGCTGTGGCTCGGGCTGCGGCTGGATATCCTCGAGCAGAGCTGTTTAGTTAAGCCTGCTGAGAGGAATCAGGAGGTTGGGGCTGGGGAACAGAGCCGGACACTCCGTGTCGGGGATGAGTTAATTCACTTGGTATTTTCATGGCAGGGAGAGAATCTTAGATTTGGAACTCCCTCTCCTTTCTTGGGCCTCGGCTCCTCTGTCACCCCTCCTTACCCCGATGTGGGGGTTCTGGGAGTCTGCGAGCTGCAGGAGCCCTGGGAGCCCAGGGGCTAAGTGAGGTAGCAGGACACATGTCTGTGGCCCGTCCTGCATACACTGCTGCCTTCATTCATGGGAAGCTGGGGATCCTGTCCTCCCCTCCGGGGCCAATAGGAGAGAGGAGCCTTTCCCCATTTCTTTTACCCCCAGGGCTGGCTGGGACCGCGGCAGACAACTGGAGGTTCAAGTTTTTATTTTCGTTCTTATTCTCTTCCACACTTTTCCCTCACTAGACCACACATTCCTCCTCTGGGAATGTCAAACCCAGGATGCTGGTCTTTCAGAGCAGAGAAGGGATGCTCTCGGTACCTCTTCCCACCAGCTCTAGCAGAGTTCCAGGGAAAACACCACAACGTTTTCCACTGGGAAGGACATCTCTGTTCCATTCTTTCTCCCACCATTCCTGAGGGAGGGCAGTGGCTCAGTCCCAAAGTCCCTCTACTCGTACTCATGATGTGACTCAAAATATTTCTTCAGCATTGTGGACCCTGGCATCCTGCAGCTCTCGAAGCCGACCGACTGCCTCTGTGACATCCCACTCTCCAAGCTGGCGACCGTCTCTGGTTCGAATGTTTACTGTCCTCTGACTTTGTTCTCTGGGACCCACCACTATTGGGAAAGGAAAAGACAAGGTAGGTGCAAGACAGGATGAAGCCGCATTGGTCCACTTGGGGTTCTGGGAGAGATCAGGCTCCCTGAAAATGCTTGTGGCAGAGGAGGAAGAGAGTTATATTTAGCTGTGCCCCTGGCGCCCAAGCCTTCAGCTGGGGAGGAGGGGAGGCTGAGATAAGAAGTAACAGTTCCTTCCCTTTCCTTTCCAGCTTCCCCACCCTATTATCGTTTCCAGCCAGGAATCCAGGGCTAGCGTTTGCAGTCTGCAAGAGACTGACAAAGAGAGATGAGAGAATGTCACAAACAACCCAGGACACAGATCCAGGCAGACTATGGCAGAAACGAAAACAAACAGGTAAACACACACACACACACACACACACACACACACACACACACACACACACACACACACACACACACACACACACACACTTTCTCTCTCTCTCTCTCTCTCTCTCTCTCTCTCTCTCTCTCTCTCTCTCTCACACTCGGAAGCTAGATGTTGGTGGGGACAGTCAAAAGCAAACCAGGGGAGGAATGTTTGTTTTCTACTTCTAAACATCTTGCACAAATGGCGACACCAAGGCCCTAACAAGATCACAGACCCTTGACATTAGTGATCTCATTTGAGCTTCACCACAGCCCTGTGAGGGAGCTTCATGTCCCCATTTTCCAGAAATGGAGACTCTTGGTCACTTGCCCATGTCACACAATCCTCAGATTTCTGAGGCAGGATTCAAACCCAGGTCCTCTTGAGTAGTGACTTATCCACTAGGCTACAGGTGATACTCCCTGCCCCAGAATGTGTCATCTGTGCCTCCATTCCCCAGGGCTCTTGTCCAGGATAAACAAGCAAAGACAATTACTTTAATAGCCCCATTAATCTTTCTTGTCCCTTTTTTTCTAAAGCTAAAAAAAAACCCAATTGGTTCCAGAGGTAAAGGAAGCTGGGTGGGAGAAGATGGAAACAGGCAGGGAAGCCTGGGCACTGGTATCAAAGCAGCTGTGTTCCAAGGAGATGATGAGCCTCAGAGAGTTTGAATGAGCTGACAGAAGTAAATTGGAGAGAACATCCAAGAACAGTTCTGCTCCCCATCTGGAACCACTCACCAAATTGGAAGTTATACTGGGAAAGCTGGGCACGCCGTACTCTCCGGCTGAGGGTCAGGCTTGGGTCCTTATCTAAGTCACCCGCCAGGCCTGCGGCCTGCAGGGCTCCCTGCACCTGGGTGAAGATTTGGGAGGAGACAATGAGAGGATGACTGGAAGGCAAAGGGCCTGCAAAGCCCAGCTGGGGACCTCGTATTTTTCCTCTTCGTGAACCTGACTGGACGACTAGCTCTTCACTCGGCGAGGCCTCCATCTCCAACACCCATCTCCAAGCAGTCACAAAATCTATTCCCAATGCCTACAATCCATTCCCTCATCTCTGACTCTCTCAAAACTTTTCTACCAAGATTCATGTGTCTCTTCTTTAGGAAGCCTTCCCTACTCCCCGAGGTAATGCTCCTTCCCTTTACTAATTCCCTTCTAAAGATCTGGTAGATGCTGTATTCCCCCAACAGAATGTAAGCTCTTTGAGGGCAGGGACCATTTGTGTTTGTCTTTGTAACCTCACTCCACACTTAGTAGGTGCTTAAAAGATTTCTTGAACACTTTGCCTTTCTCTCACACCTTCAATGGGTTCTCAGTTCTGGCCCCTTCCAAGCCCTAGCCCCAAGCTCCCTCCAGATCCCCCTCTCACCTCCCATGCATAACCCTCTTGCTCAACTGCCACGGGGATGACCAGAGCCTGGAGTGGAGACAGCCACAGTGGCCTGGGGTTGAGGGGAGAAACAGCGCAGAGTTACCCCTCCACAAGAATGGAATGGGGTCAATAAAGCCTGGGAAGAGAGACGTAATGAGAAAAGGGTGGTGAAAGAGTTTAGAGACTGGGGCTCGGTGTATCTGAGAGTTTCAAAGGATCACTGATTTACAGCTAGAAGGACCCTCGGAGGCCCCCACCCCCTTTTCCCATTCTACAGATAAAGACCCTGAGACAAAGTTGAATAACTCGCCTAGGGTCACACAGCCAGTAAACATAGGAAGTGAGATTTGCACCCAGGCCTTCCTATCTGCCCGGCCCCATCACAGCGCCTCCGGCAGGACAGAATGACAGAGGTCAGAAATTAGGGATCAGTGGTCTTACCATTTGCCTCCATAGTTCTCAGCCAGCACCCCCAACATTCTTTCCACTGAGCCCAGCACTGCTCGGTGAATAAGGACTGGGCGCTCCGGGACCCCCGTCTGCCTTAATGGGTGGGAAGGAGAATGTCAGAAACCGCAACACTCCAACCTTCTTCCCCTCTCCCAGGCCCAGGAAAGCCAGAGAAAGCTCCCCACAAGGCAGAAGTGGGGGAGAGCACCTTGAACAGCTGACACTTAATGAACGTGGGTCAAACTGAACTGTTTCTCATACACAATATTGATTTCCGGTAAACAGAACCAAGTGGCAGAGGAGAAAGACACTGTGTCCCATGGGACGGATGCCGAGGAGTACCACGAAGAGATACGGAGTGGGGAAACCTCCATACCCCACATATTGGAGGCCGAATCTCAAAGGCAGCTGGAAGTCAAGCTGTATTGTCCCGCACTGATGGGGTCTTCCCAGGGCATCCTGGATATGAACATCAATCTGGAGGAAGACAGTCCAGTACATGGGGTTAGTGAGAACCAGGGGCCTCGATAACTCCAACCCTTGGATCGTGTATCTGGACCTGAAAGGGACATCGGGCCATGTAGTCCAACCCCTTCATTTCAGAGAGGAGGAGACTGAAGATGAGGGAGATTATGTGACTTGCCCAAGGTCACACAGATTTCTGGGGGAGGATTTAAATCCAGGTCCTCTGACTATGACACAGGCAGTGGTTTGACCCTATGCTCCACCTGTCCCAACTCCCTAGCATGTCCCTTCATCCATCCACGTGTGCAGCTTACCTTGGGTCCATAAAATGCACCATCTCCAGGGTTCAGCTCCCAGGGCTCCCCAAACTCACCTAGGGCTTGCTGAAGGATCTACAGGATGGCAGAATGATGTCACTCTGGAATTCTATATTCAAGAAGTCTCACCCATTTTTCTCCCGCCTAGGAAGCAATGCTCTCTCCTCCCAGACAAACTCAGAAGGTGCCAGGACAGCTAATTCTTCCCCACCAACCCCATGGAGGTTTGTGGCTGCTGTTCTCACTGTCCCCTCCACTACTAACCTCTTCAGCCTTGTCCCAAAGGTAGGACTCCCCTAGGAAAGAAGACGGCCTAGTCGACAGCACCAGATGAAAGGAGAAGCCAAGGACCGTGTAGACAGAGCGAAGGAAATCAAGGCATCCTTGGATCTCAGACTCTAGCTGTGGGACAGGGAGACATGGGGAGGTGGAAGTTTGGTTGAGGGACTGGGGAGGTGTTAATGTCCAAGGGCCATGCTGAAAAGGAGGGACTGGAGGAGAAATAAGAGTGGAAGAGAGTGACCTTCAGGGTCACAGGGAATGGACAGGTATGTATGTAGGTACCTACAAAACTGAGATAATGTGGTGCTTCAAAGGGCACACGTGAGAGGGTAAATGAGTTAGTGGTAGCGGTGTTAGAAGCTTGTGGACAGTCATGCAAAGGAGGTGCAGGGATAACCTGATCTGGAGCACAGAAGATATGAGCATCATCCTGCTGGAACCTACGAAGTCGAGTCAGGCCCCCTAGACTCCCGGAGGCCTCGGTTCGGTGCAGGGCCCCAAAATCCGCCAGCCGCAGAGGCAGCTCCCGCCAGGACCGGGGGCGGTGTGAAAATATCAGGCTGGGTACGGCGGAGAAGAGGGCAGTGAGTCAACTCCTCTGACTTCCAGCCTCAAAGGAATGCTGGAGTCTGCCTCTCTGCCCCTGGAATGTCCTGTTGGCTCTTCTCTACCCATCCCCCATCCATCAAGACTGGGTTCAAAACTGAACTGCCCGAGTTCCCCGCCTGGCTAACGGCTCGCTCCTCCACCCCATGGGCCATCAGCGTTTATACGCTTCACTTTGTATTCCACTGGTTTCTACCTGTTGACGACTCTGTAACTGTTATGTCATTTAATGTGCGGTATCCTACCACCAGCTAGACAAGAATCTGGTGTCCTGACTCCACTACTCTGCAGCCACCAGTGTAGTGGAGGAGCTCTGTAAATGTTCGCCATTTTGCTAGTCGTACAAAGCGAGGGCTGGAAGGCACATTGGAGAACATGTAGTCTAACTGCTTCATTTTCCCAAGGTCGCACAGCTAGTTAACGGCAGAGGCAGGACCCCTAGTACCCAGGCCTCCTGACTCTCTTTCTAATAGCTCATTCGTAGCTATGCCAGCTCACCAGTGTGCAGGGCAGTTCATGGGCTTGAGAGCCAGCATGCCTCTCGGCTGGTTAGCGGAATGGTCATTTTGGCAATCAGCAGGCCCATCAGACTCTGGAGGCCGAAGAACAAACATGTCTTCGCTATAATGCTCCCAGTGTCCTGACTGCTCCCATAGCCTTGTAGAGAAGAGTGTTGGGGTCCTCACTTCTGAGAACCCTCGACGGGCATACTCATTCTGGAGGAGACAGGAGAAAATGAGAGCTCCCCGTCCCTCAGACCCCTAATCTAAGCCTTACATGATCAAAGCTCTTAGAGCACGTTCTCTTTTCCATGCTTTCTACCCCTTGATGCCCGATCCACCGCACATACACACATCGATACATTGTCCCTATCTGTTCTAGCTCCCTCAAAGGTGACTATCAGTTCTCTCCTAAGTGATCCCCCCTTTTCCTTGGCTTTTTCCCCTCAAGGTTCTGGTCCCACATACCCTGATGAAAGTCATCAGCGCATTATATACTCTTGTCCCTCGTGGCAGGAAAAAGCAGCTTCCAGGGCTCAGCTCATGGAAGAAGAAAAGCTCCTGGTCCTGGAGATCCACAAGCTGGGTCAGGGGTAGCCAGGGATCTCAGCTCCTCAGAGCTCCCTAGTCCCTGTTCAGTCCCAAGCCAGGCATTCCCTTCCTTCCAGTGAGATCAATCCTTTCTTCCCAGGGTCCAAACCGAGCCCCACTTCATGCCCTGGCCCTGGGGCCCAACACTGCCATACTTTCCCAATGCGTCTGTGGTCCTTTGCTGCTGCCTCTTCCCTCTGTTTCTCCCAGGCTCTCAGCCCCTCAACGGTGGGGAAGGAAATGCCATACACTCTCTGCAATGGCTCTTCAGCTCCTGAAGACCCCACCCATGAGGAAGATGAGTTCTGAGGGAGACACAGGAAACGGAAGGTGGAAGGGGCCCCGGAACAACCTCCACTGGGTGCCTGCCGGTGACGTGGGGTGCCAGCAAGTTGTCTCCAATTGCCCACAAAAGCCTATCTTGCCCTAACTCTAATTTTCCCTATCCCCATCAGCAGTGAGATGCCACCTTTCTGCTGGCTCCCAATGATTAGATCCTTAGGATTCATGTTCAATTCCTTTCTTTTGCATCCACAATTTGGTCTGAATTCCACTTCCTGTTCTGTTTTCCCTGTCACTGACACAAGGCCAAGCCTGCCCCTTCTTTCACTTATTTCCTAGGTGATGTCCCCTCGTCCCCTTCGTCGATCCTCCATCTAGGCCTCCTCAATCTCTCTCCCAGCCACCTGTGCCTGCTTAGATTACCATAAACGCCAGTCAGGAGTTGAACCTTCCTTCCATTTATCTCCCAGAATTACTAGTTTTCTAGCTATAACACACCCCACTGTCTTGCATATGAAAGTCAGCATCATGGTTGGGCTTCTATTGCTATCGATGGTGAATGTCTTCAAGCACCTTGCATTTCAAAAGTACTTTTAATGATTGTTCAAAGCACTTTTTACATATATTTACATGTAAATCATATATATTTACATGTGATTTACATATAACCTATTATATGTAGTTCATGTGTAATTTATTTCATCGTATCTATAGTTATCTCTAAAAAGTGGTCACATAAAGCAGAAAAGAGAAATTTAAGTCACTAAGAGTCAAGGGAATGGCCCCAAGGTCAGAGTGAGCTAATCAGGCCTAGAATCCCGATTCTTCTTCTGACTCTTGGTCCTGGATTCTTTCTCCATTTGGGGATATTTGGACCTGGGCTCTGTTTTAGCAAGGTAGAGTTAAGGCTCTACGTTTCACTTTCCCAAGCAGCTGAGCCTTCACCTAGCGCACTCCTCTAAAGCCAGAAGCCCATTCCCCTCCTCTCTGCCAGCTGTGTCTAACAGGGGTGGAGAACTTGCGACCTCGAGACCCCATGTGATGCTCTGGGTCCTCAGGTGCAGCTCTCTGACTGAACTCAAACTTCACAGAACAAATCCTTTTATTAAGGAGCAGGTTCCCCACCGCTGGACCCTTCCTGATCCTTATTCTGTCCCTGGCTCAGAGAAGCTTTTCTAGAACTCCCCCTCCAGCTTCTGCTCATTTACACTCTAGCCTTTCCCTTCACCACATACAGCAAAGTGGTCTGGTCTTATTTCTTTTTCTATTTTTTGAAAATATTTGCATTAATAAATGTCAGTACACGGAATGTCATAACTCTTCAGTTTTCCCCTCTTAAATCTCCATTAGAATTGTCTATTCCTATTTACTTTTCTGATGTGCTAATAGTGTGTACTCTAGTCTCACTTTTTTTTCTCTCCCAATCTGCATTATTTCATGTAGGTCTTTCTCTAGTTCTCCTAATTCTTCATAGATGCTGATATTAATTGCATTACAGAATTCCATTACATCAATATACCACAATTTATTTAAGCCCTCTTCCACCACTCAGGTTGCTTCCATTTTTTTTGGCAATAGCAAATAATGAATCCATGAAAATCTTTGAACAGCCATAATAAAAGACCCTAACAACCCTCAGAGAGTATATTGCTATCAATGGAATTATTATTCAATCAGAAGTATAATTACTTTTGTAACTTTTACTGTGTACTGCCAAGTTATTTTCTAAAACAATTCTGCAAGTCTGGAATTCACTAACGATGGATGAATGTACTTTTGCCCCACTCCCAAAAGCACCGATTTTGCTACTTTTAATTATTTTAACCAATTTGATTTAAAAAGAACTTACAAAATTGGCTTAATCTACATTTCTCTGATTATTAGAAAACATGAACAATATTTCAAGTTTTCTTGTATTGATACCTTTTGTTTTTACATCACTCTTATTTCTGAATATATCCAGTACTTCCTTCTGTCCTAAATATATTATTTTTTAAAAAAGGGAAAGATAGCAATTTGGCAAAAATAACCAAGATATACACTCAAATCTGATAGGCAAAGAAGGCAGGCATATTTTCCCTCCTCTTCTACGGTGCCAAACTTACATTATTACGTAGTGTTTGGTTTTGAAATTTTGTTTCTTTTGAAACTGTAGTCAATTTGTATTCCCTGCCCTGGTTTTCCTTGCTTTAATCTGCGGTTCTCTGAATTCTTCATATTCATCATTTCTTATGGCAAAAAGTTAGTTTTAAAGGACCTTCTTCCTTTAAAAATTCTTTATTATGAGAGGAAGTGTGTTGTAATGGATAAAAAGCTGGCCTTGGAGTCAGGAAAACTTGGGCTCAAGTCCTGCCTCTGACACATACCACGTGTCAGCCCAAGGTAAGTCACCTAACCTCTCAGGCTCCAAGGCAGCTCTCTTGGACTCTACGTTTCACTGACCCTGGTGGGGTTTCCTCATATGGAAGCTCCCTTTGTCAATAAAATCACAGGCCTAAACTCCATCCTTTCCCTTATCCCTGTTAATAAAAGGGATGATTCTGGAAGGGCTTGGGGATGATGGTTACAGTAGATATACATGTGGGTGACAAAAAAACCAAGACATCAATAAAAATTTATCTTAAGTTTATCTGATTTCGACATAGGTTATATCTATCATATATCACATTTCCCCAATTCACTATTATTTAAGTTACACTGTATAAACTTTATTTTTTATGTAATAAGCACATCCATATTGTCCCCAGGATAGTGGTTCACTATTCCCTTCTCCCCTCCCCAATAGAGCGAACAGAGAAAACCCGTTTTCCCCTCCTCCTTTCACTGACCGTCAGGAGCTTTAGCACACCAATCTGTCCTGTGTGTCGCAGGTGGGGGCCCTTGCAAAGGTCAACTGATGTGCCACATCTGGGAGAAGGAAGGGGGTGAAAGGATCAGCATCCCATATGTTTGACCCTCTAGTTTTCTTCTTTTCACAGCTTCCAGGCACTGAGGAAAGGTTGCCTGGTGACTGAGGAAGATATGGGAAACAAAACCAGCCCCTGGACCTACTGCTATGTCTTTTACTGTGGCAGAAGTGGACTTTTCTTCTAACAAAAAGAATAAACTTTTAACTACCCCTGGTCTCCACCACTTGTGTTCTTCTTACCCATACACTGTTGCAGTTGGCTCCTTTACTTTATCTTCAATCAGCTGAAGCTTAAAAGGGTTGTCCTGGGTGAGATGAAGTCAGAGGTGATATGTTATTGAGAGGAAGAAGACATTTTTTCCCTTGGGCCAAACTGATGTGGGAGAGTGCTGTTGTCTTCTCTGCTTGCCCTTGGCTCTCAGTGTCCCTGACCCCTTCTGACCTTAAAGAGCTGACAAAGCTGCTCCCGAGAGGCCTCCAGCCGCCGGAAAGGGTGAGCAGCAGCCACGATCTTCTGACATGCCTGCTCTAAACTGGGCAGCTCTGAGCCCCGCACTGTCCTAGAAAAAGAATTGGTTAATCTACACAAGAGAGGGACCTCTCCCCGTGTGCAGAACCAGCAATGGGCAGTGGGAGGGAGATCCCAGAGGAAAGAAGAGACACAGATGCTGTCTCTAAGTGATCTCTTAGAACCATTGAGGGAGACAAGACCCATTTGGAGAAGACAGAGGGACAGATACAGAGGCTATTGTGGGAGAGGGAGTAAGAAACGTAGAGAAAGACATAGTACAGAGAGTCCAGCTGAGTAAAGTTAAGGGCAATTAGCACTAAGGAGAATGGTCAGGAGAGGTTAAGCAGGTAAGGCCTAAAGGAACTGTAGATGAGAAAATCTGAAAGGAGAGGTGGATCACGAATTATAAGAAGTGAAGGGAAATCTGAGACCTGGGGATTAGGGTAAAGAATATCATTCCTTTCTCTCATTCTATGCTTGACAAATAAAACACATTTTTCACTCAAATTCCACTCTCTCAATGAAAAACAGAAAGCCAGGGGAAGCAGCACAGAGCACAGAGGAACATGGGGCCCATTCTAAAGAATCTTAACCTAGTCACTCTGCATTCTCCAAAATGAACTGCTCTACCTCCAAAAAGTGCTTACTGGTGGAAATAAAACAAAACAAACCCACCAACTCCTTTTGCTCTTATCCTCCCCTAACTCTTCTCCACTTACCGATTCCCTCCGAGGGATATGTCATGGTAGAATCCACCAAGGGTGCTGGGGCCACGGCAGAGGAGGGCACCCAGAAGATGTTCAGCAGCTGCCCCGAGAACATGGGCACTGGAATGCCAGAACAACTGGAGTCAAGAGAAAGGAGTCATCAGTATATTTCCCTCCAAACCTCCTGACCTTTAACCTTCTACATTTAATTAGCTCTTCTCTTTCTTAACCTCAGGTAACCTGGCAGGGCTGTAGTGGGGTGGAAGGAGATTAGACTTCAGGAATAAGGCAGATATGTAAGATGTCAGAGCTAGAGGGACCTCAAAGATTTTCTAGTTCAACCCCCTAATTTTATAGGTGAGGACAATGAGGCCCAGAGAAGGCCCAAAGTCAAACAACTACTTACTGGAAGAATCTGGACTAGAACACACATCTCCTGGCTCTCTGTCTAGTCCCATTTCTACTATCCACTCTGCTTCCTCCAGCAGTCATGGATATATAAAAAGAGGGTATAAGGTAAAGAAAGAATTATAGGTTTCCTTCTTTGTTCCACAGCATAATATACTCCCATCTATGTGAACCATTAATTAGGCGTACAACTCCATTTGTCTTTTGGTAACCCCATGTTAAACTTGCTTCTTAGGAAGGCCCTCAGGCAGGGCTCTATCTTAGTATCTTAACTTTCTTCTTCAGCACCAAAAATACAGAAATCTCTCTTGGTCTTCCTACCCTCCTCTCTTCCTCCCCCCAAATATCTCAGTGACAGTGGATTATATTTGAGTTAGATTAAAGTCAGCCTGCCTTAGCTGAGCAAACTAGGATAGGGGAAGGTGGAAGGCAGTCTGGCTGTGGGACAGACATGGTGCAGAAGAAAGCTCAGAGGACTGGAGCTAAGAGGTGAGCTCAGATCCTGGCTCAGCCCCTTGGTAACTGTATAACTTCGAGTAAATCACAGGAATGCTGAGCCTTAGTTTCCTCATTTGTAAAAGGAAAGGCCTAGACTACATAACCCTATATCTAAGACTCTGAGGGTGAGTGGAGAAGGCCAGTACACTTTTAAAGATGTATTTCAGATACTCCTCAAAGTAGTTACATGGGTTTAATGTCTTTACAATGTTGTGGGCCATCTGTCCTCTCTATCAGTATACCTGGATACTGTATTCAGGGGGAGGGGGGGAGGTCTGGATTTTGGGCAAGACACTTGAGCAGTCTGAGTCTTAGTTTTCCCATCTGTAAAAGGGACATTGTAATACTTAGCTGGACTCAACATGATGATTGTAGAAATCAAGTGAACCAGGGAACTATATAAAGTCTACGTAATTTCTTCTATTCAACACCCAACATAAACAGGTAAATAATCAACCTTAAAGGAAATGGAAAAAGCACTGGATTTGAGGTAAGGAGAAGATTCCATTGTGAGGATTAAATGAATATATATAAACCACATGACAAACTTTAAAGGGCTATATATGAATGTCAGCTATCAAATTAACAAGCTTGAAAGGCTTTGACTATGAACTTGGCGATGGACAAAATTCAACTCAGCTAAATCTGAACAGACTGCGTTAGCTGAATGTGGAAGAATATTTTTGGGCATAGCAATTCACAAAGTCTGTCTAGAAGGTGCAGAAGAGCTTCCATCTGCTTAGTAATGATAATAAAAGAAATCAAATGTTGGGGGTGGGGACAGGGTGGTATACAGCCATTCTCTTAGCCATATAGTTAAACTGAGGCAAATTAAAGTGCTAGGATTAGACTCAGGAATCCAGGTGGAATGTTTTCCAGCTCAGATGTCAACCTAACTTGGCTGTTGGGGGTCACTCACCGATTTTCCTTCAGGAGAATCAAAAGTCAGGAAGTCAAGGTCAGCGTCTCCCTCCAAGGGACGATCCATATCATAGGTGATTCCGTTTACTCGGGCAGCTACAGCAGTATCTGCCAAGGTAGGACTGGGATGGAGGGAGGGAAAGGGCAGGGTCAGGATTCCCACAGGGAGAGGGGTCAAATATTTTGTTCTATTCTGGAGATTAGGGTGCAGGAACACTGAACTTTGGAAGACTGCAACTTGCCATTTCACCCACAGAGAAGAAAACTAAGGAAGAAAGAATGAGATGAAAACAGAGAAATGGAAAATGTAATAGGAAAGGCTTTATAATAGAAGAATGGAAATCCAGGGCCAAGAAAGTACAATGGAATCTAGGCAGCTACATGGCCCTGTGGATGGGCCTGGAATCGGGGAGACCTGAGTTTGAATCTGGCCTCACTTACCAGCTGTGTGACCCTGGGCAAGTCACTTCACCTCCACCTGCCTCGGTTTCTTCATCTATAAAATGGGGATAATAATAGTACCTACCTCCCAGGATTGTGAGGATAGAGGGACGTAACAGTGCCTAGCCCCCAGCAGGCGTACGTGAAGGTCAGTTATTGTCATGGAAGGCCCTCTTCTGGGGGTCCTGCTTTACATAAAGCATAACACACCTCGGAGACGCTTTTAGTTGGGGGCAGCCGGCACGTACCTGATCCGCTGGGCTACCTGGTAGGGCGTGGTGCTCCAGGCCTCGCCGTCCACCCTCCGGCCTCCGGGAGCCAAGACCCGGATTGGCCGCCGCTCCCTCCGGGCCCTCTCCGCCGACCGCTCGGCCTGCGCGGCCCACAGCTCCTCAAAGACGCCCAACCTCTCCGCGAGCCAGTGGGGAAGGGCCGGCACCGGGGCCTGGGGGGAGAGCAGAGACGTGACGCTGGCGGGGCTTGGGGAGCCTGGGGGGAGGGGCTCCGGCCGCTGGACCCGGCGGGGCGGGGAGGTCGCCTGGGCTGGGGGGGAGGGGGTCCTGCACGCACCGTGTGTAACCCGCAGCCCGGAGCCCTCCGGATCCCGAGGGTCCGCCACGGCACACGCATGCTTGCGACCACCAAGCCGAGCTCGCACAGCCCTGCCCCGGAAACAGCTTTTGCCGGTCCCCTTCGTCTCCACCTGGCTTCCGGTCCTAGAGCGTCCTCGCCTATTGGCTAAGGAGACCGTCACTCAACTGTTCTGGGAACGCTTGAAAAGGCATACCCCAAGCAGCGCAGGGACCGCGGCCGAGGGTTCCGCCTGCCCGGACGGCCCGAGATGGAGCCCGGCTCTGAATCCCTCAGGCGTCCCAAGTGCAGCTTTGTGGGGGCCGAATCTGACTAACCCGACAACCTGGCACCTTGGGAAGTCGCCCAGAAGCATGCTCAGCCCCCTTTAACTTTAAATGAACGTGCAAATGAGCATGTGACAGAGAAGACCTCTAACACCTCACCATAGCATCCTCCTTCCTGGCTGCCTCTGCCTGCCCCCACCAAGGACAGCACAGCCTGGCTTTCAGCTCTCCTCCCCTTCCAGCCCCAGGCCGAGCTTCCCTCATCGCCTAGTCTTTCCTTCCCACACTAAATCTGGACACAGTGAACTAGGGCTAAATTTGTTTATTGAATTGGTCACAATGAAAATGAGGGTGAAGGGTCGTTTGGGGGAGGGATGACATGGAAGAATGATGACGGACCGTGGGTTGTGGAAGGAGAGTTTTCATTCAGAGGTTATTTATTCTGGGCTGCCACAGAGGTCACAGCTTCCTGAGGGACAGTGAGGGAGGAGTTGGAGTCTTTGGCCCGAGTCACAGATCCAGGACCCCAGATCTTGGCTCTGTCTTCTGACCTGCTGAACAGTCTGAAATGGAGAAAGAAAAAGCAGCATTGTGGGAAAGGTTATACAAGAGTGTGTGCATGCAGATCAAACACAATAGGGCTAAAATAATTCATATCAGGCAGAAGTCTTCACCTCTGTTTCAGCCAGTGGGGAAAATAGGAAAGGGTGTGTGGATAAGCATGATGACCTGAACTACTTATACCAACCACACTGCAAGATAATCATGTAGACCCAAGCTGTCTACACTGACAGTTCCTATTGGTTCATCAGTTACCAAATCTTGTTGATTCTACTTCCACAGTAACTTTCTTCTGTACCTTATTTTTAAAAATAATTTTTATTAATCACTTGTTTTCACATTGCCCGTTTCCCAACGTATTCCCTCCACTCACCTTTTTCCAGAGAGCAATCCCTTATAACAAAGAATAAGGGGAAGGTTTAGCAAAACTAATCAATATATCAAAAAAGTCTGACATTGTATAGCAATATGAGGTGCCTTCTCATCTCTTCTTTGGGGTCAACTTCTGTACCTATCTGTGGACTCAAAAGGCCACAATCCTACTTCAGACCCTCTTCACAAACCTGGAAAAATGCAATAACCTCCTATTTAATCTCCCTGCTTCTATCCTATCCCTTTCCAATCTGTCCTCTACTTAGCTGCCAAACTGATAGTTCTATGACACATCAGCTCCACTCTCAAAAACTGTCACACTACTCATTGTCTCTAGGATAAAATAGAAAATCTTCAACCTGTTGTCTTAAGTTCTCAACAATCTGGCTCTCTATTTTTTCCCAATGTTATTTCACATTACTTTCCTTTATGCCAGCTATTCCAAACTGGTGGGCTAGCTGCTCCCCCTCAACATCCCTCCTATTCTGCCTATGTCATTGTCTAAGTGGTTTTCCATGTCTAGCATGTTACTCCTACCTTTATACCAAAGTTATAGAGTCCCTAGCTTTCTTTAAAGTTTAACTCTGGTGCTTCCCTCCAGCACTTGGCCTTCCTCAGCTATTAACACTATCTTCCTCTTGTAATTACTTTGTATTTATCTGCATACAACTTGTATTGATTATACTTTAAGCTCCTTGAGGGCAAGGAAATTGGTATTCCTTGTGATTGGCACAGTGCCCTGCAAATAGCAAACACTTAGTAAAATTAAACTGAATCATTAAAATTGCTTTTCACAAAGCTTTGAGAAACGAGAAGGTTCTCTCAGGTCAATTCCACCTCTACCAAACTGACTAAGCTCTGAATCATCTAATTCCACAACCTTTGACTAGTGATTGGGACCAGCCTCAGCCCCAGGAAAGTAACCCCGTTAGTCTGGCTGGGATACATATACCCTCAGAGCTGAGGTTTCTTCATTCCTCCTGTCATTCAACATCTCTGTTCTTCAGTGTCATCTACTGACAACTGGAGAAAAAAGGTCAAATGGAGTTCCTTTTCCTTCCTGGGAGCCTTTCTTGAAGGCCAGAGGCCCAAAATCCAGAGGAGATTAGACACTAGATAGAAAATCCAAAAGGGATGTCTCACAAATGCTCTTCTATCAGACTAAGGATAGGAAAAAAAGAGAAGCATGGTGGATTGAGGCCATGGACAGAAAATCCCTACTAGTTTCATTTCTGGGAGATCACCAGCTCCTTCCCTTATTCAAGAGTGAAGAAGCATTTCTCCATTGCCAAAACCAGCAGCCAGATCCCTCCTGTCATGAAGCTTAGTACCCTCCTCATTTTCCAGGTACCTGAGAAAAAGGGAGGGTACAGTAGAATCTTCTACCAACACAAATGATCTGAATCCAATCTCTATTAGCACATATGCTCAAATTGAGCATAGCTCTTAATGAAGCACACTATTCATCAAAGACAATTGTTATGCTACTGACTTCAATTTCTGCCGAAGATGAACGAAGATGTGGCTGAAAGTACAATAGAAGTAATGGGGATTAAACCCCTCAAAGAAACTGGTTGATAGGAATCGAAGGCAAAAGGGTCCACCAAAGGGGATGTTAAGTCAGTTTTCCTAGACACCCCTTAGTAGGAAAGCATCTCACTTATTTTCCTAGAGAGTTAAGGTAATTTTTTTTTTCAGAGAGGGCAGGTGGGTGGATAGATTGACCGTTGGCCATCAGAAAATGCTAATTTTCTTTTTCAGGGTATCCCTTTCAGTGTTCTAAGACTTCAAAAGAAGTTGAGGATACTAAGTGGAATGAACCAAAGATAAAGGGGAAGCAAATGACAAGATTGTCAAGAAAGGATGGTGGGAAGGGCATGAAAAGAGAGCTTCCTATGTAGAGGTGGGCAAAGGGGCCAGGGGAGTGTACTTAACTTGAATTCATAGGCTTTCAATCTAGCAAAGTCCCTAGCCATCTTACCCCTCTAGGCAAGCTTTTTTGTTCATTAAGAACTTGGACCTCAAAAAGCACATTATTTGTCTTTGAGGCATATCTCTGATTCTAGTCCCTGAATGAGGAGAGCTGACAGCCCTGACATTAGAATCAAAGGAAAGGAAGAATGTGGGGCTTTCTTCTTTTCTGTCTGTTCTCAATGGATGAAGGGGGAACTTAGCCTACGTTCCATTCCTCAAGGGAAAACTGGATTTGCCAGAAGAGGAAGAATTTTTTTTTCAAATAATTCAGCAGGCCCCAGGAAAGGCCTTTTATTTGGTATGAAGTAGAACAGTTCTAGGGTAGACTGGTTTAGCCACTATCCTTTTGAGTCAAACACAATAAACCTTTTCTCGTTTACCTTGATCCCACCATCAGGAACTGCTAGTTCCTCCACCCATTCTATCAACTTTTGACGTCTAACTGGTAAAAGACAGCAGGAAACTGGATAAGACAGGATTAACAGACTGCTGTGTGGCAATAATCAGAAATGCCTGTTTGTAAGCAAGATCACATTCTGCAGCCCCACATACGATTCTTCAGATCCCCTTGGATGGGGGTGGGGCAAGGTGAGGGTGGCAAAGGGAGGAGCTAGAACATTTATTTTATCCTTCCCCATTTGCTTTCTTAAGAATTCTACTCGGGAGCGAAAAAAACAAAAAACAAAAAACGGGCTGTTTTGACTACCCATAACTTAGTAATGAGTGTCGCTCTCATAGTCCTGTCTATGCAGCCCCAGTGAGTTATTACTCAGCTATTGTGAACAATAGCAGCTGACTGGGCTTGTCTATGCAGTTACTCATTAGAAAGTATGAGAAACGCCCTAATACCAAAAGTTTGTTTAAGTCCTTCTAGAATATGTGATTGTAGCAATTTACAAGTTATTGAGCTTAAGCAAAAAGTAAACTGGGCAATTTTTTTCTTTAATGATGAGGTTAAGGGGAAGTGTTGACATAACATGAAAACTTAGGGCAGTGAACAGAATAAATTCCCTTTTCTGGAAGTGAGAAAGATGAACGGAATTTAAAAGAAAAAAAACTTAAGGGGATACTTGCGATGATTTGGGGACACTGCTATTTTTGAAGTGTCCAGTGACACACATGGGAACCTCAGGTAACCAAGACGAGTTTGTAACCTTCACCAGCCAGTGCCCTAATGGGGACGACCAGATGTTATTTTAACATCAGAGATTCTACTACACAGGGCTGGGGAGGAGGAAAGAGTTGAAGATTCTAAATGACAAAGAGCACTTGGCAAGGAAGCAACAAGAAATGTGTGGGGTATGCTGCATGTCCAAATAGCTCTCTGGCTGCAAACTAGTTTTGTGGAGTGTAGGTAACCACCTACACAGTCCGTATCAGGCCCCATTAAGAATTCTCCTCTGAGAACTACCTTTAACCTTCTACACCTATGATCCCTTCCTCTAAGTCGACTGTAAGAAGAATAAGTAGAAAATGTCCCTATCTGCTTTTCTTCTAAGCTTCCTTTCACCACAGAACTATTACTCTTCCATCAAAGCAAAGTGCCAGGAGGCAATGGGAAGGCAAAGAGAGATGATCAGCAAAAAATGTACCAAGGCCCCTTTGGATTAAGTAAACAACACTACAGAGGACAGCATTCTTTATTAAACTGGAAAACAAAAATGATACTCTGAAGGAACTGAAAAATAGGTGAAAGGCCTAGAGAAAAGGGATGTGTGGTGTGGAAAGGGAAAGAGACAGCGTAGTTTACAACAGAGGTGTCAAACTCAGACCACAAAACTCCAGAGCACAGCCTAAAAGAGATTAAAATGTAATTGGGAAAATTTTTCACAAAATAAATAAAAATACAACATAGATAATGCTAATTTGTCTTTTTTTTAAAGTATATATGTGGTCAGGACCTGTTTCTGTTTGAGTCTGACACCACTGGTCTACAACACCTCTTGTGTAGGTCCACAAGTGTGCACAACAAACATCTCTAAAGCAAAAGGAAATGCAACCCTGTCTTCAGAGACATATCCAGGCTTCCTTCTTCTGGTTTCGTGCTGTTGATTTCACCATTGGTCCTGGGAGTCATATGATGTCTGCTGGAAAAAAAGTAAGATTTTGACCACAAGCCAGCTCTTGGATAAGGTCAGCTGCTCTCCAGTCTCCTGCTTGCACTCACCAGAGAAAACCTGAGGGCTTTGCTCAGGCCCCAGAATCTCAAAGAAAAATGTCAAACCTTTAGAACTAGTTATTTTATTAAATGTCATCAATACACATTTCAAAGGATCTGCAGTTTCATTGGTGTTACCTTTAAATGCAGGTACTTTTGTTTTCCACACTGAACACGTGAGACTATCAATCCAACATATCTATTTTTAAGCTTAACAGGCACCCCACTCCCACCCTTACCCAACCCCCCCCCAAAAAGAGAAAGAAAAAAAAAGTAAAGCAGTCATTTACAGCAGTTTCAAAACAATAACAGCTGCAGCTTAACTCTGCATCAACCAGCAACTTCAGAATAGGACCAAGTCTTTTGTAATTAGGAAGTAAAGCGTATTCACATTATCTAGAAGCCTTTTTGCCTCCCCATAAATTCACCTCCACACTGTAGTCCTCACTGGGAAGGTGGTCTATGAGGTGTAAGACTAGGACATGGAGAAATGGGCCATGGACAAGCAGATTTTGCAGTGACAAAAACACCAAACTCTTGCCAATGTTTGGGACTTCTACATCTGTTTCTATTCACAAAGCTTAGTGATGCCGGTTTAATCTCACTCCCTGTCCCACCCCCCCTTCTCTGTCTGTGATTTCACAGTGAGCAGTAAGGATTCAGCAATGACTTTTTTTTTTTGGCTTTCATACTAATCATGTCTGTGTCAAGACACACGATGTTGTGTTTTCTTTAAAAAATATTTTGTTTATTGTTATTTTTTAAACTGAAGGTAAGATACAAAAGTCAGAGAATGGTCAAGGAGGTTTAAATCACAGACACAGAAAGACTAAAACCTCTCAGTTCATGTTATGTATACCAGAAATGTCTTTTTTCTTTTCTTGTTATAACATACATATATACACTGGTATCTTCTGTTACTGTTGTAGATAGTTTTCCTTGAAGGTAATAGCTGAGAGTTAAGTACTAACTCCCACCTCTATCCCCAAACACAAACATGGAATATTTTCTGGCTTAAAAAAAAAAAAAAGCCACCAAAAGTCTGTCTTTTACACTGTACAACAAAGTCTTCCTTTCAGGCATTAACCATCATGCTTTAATGACAACCCACCCCCACCCCTAAAACATTCAGGAGTCTACTTTCTGGGCACCTTTCAGGCCATCTTCTGATGAAATCAAATGGTGAGAGCTTTTCCAAGTAAACACCACATATAGTTTAAGCAAAGAGCAGCAGCAATAATTCACATTCTTATATTCCAAAGGGAAACACATTCCTTCTCTCCACCCCCCCCAAGGAAGTCTATTTCAGTATCAAAAATCAAACAAAACCCCAACTTCCTTTCTGTGCCCCCCCCAACACTGTAGGGCTCAATGTTACCAAACTGCTTCTTTGCTTATTAATCCAGCCATTCCCACAAAACTGCATGGATGTGGGGAACTGTAGGGGACCTTGGAGAATCAGAAAAAGGGAGAAGAGTTGGACTAAAGACTAGACACACATTAGGAAGATGGATGGTTTTTTAGCACCCTAACTACACAAGACATGAACCTCTAAGTTCAAATAAATAATGTGGAATAAGTTACATCAAACACTCCAAAAGGCTTAAACATGGTTTCCTTTCTTTAATACCAAAGTAAGCTTCTAAGTTCTAACAAGACAGAACCATACCTTCTGTAATCTCTCCACTCTTTACCACTTCCTGCAAAACAACTCCCTGCCCCTTCCCCCCCTCAATCCAACCACCCTAAATTGTTCAGTACTTACACTTTTCTTATCCCATCCTTTTTTCCTGGCCTGGAAAGGAAGTATAAGAAACCTGATGGATCTAATGCAAACCTCAGCACATACTATTTCAATTACCCAGCTTCAGATTCTCAAAAGGACATTTCCACATTGGGGATATATTCTGGAGGCAGAATAGGGAAAAGAAGGGCAGGGAGAGACGCTAAATCACAAAGACAAAGGAAATAGCAGCAAAGCAAGGGCTGCTTCTCTATGATGCTAAATGTGAGAGTGGAAACAAACAGTAATTTCACTCTTGTATTTCCCCAAGCTCTTAAAGCAATTAGATCCCTCTGAGGGCAGGGATAGAAGACCTTTTCTTCCTGCCTGGAGACTGAGGCTTCAGCTTTATTTGTGATAGCTTGCTGTATATGAACCCTAAAAATTAAGATCCATCAGGTCCTCCTGTATCCACATTCCTCTTAAGGAGTAAGAAACAACACATCCCAGCAGATATTGCATTTTAAAAATGCTACAGAAATTTATTTAGAAACTTGTGGGATGCAGATGTTTCTCCCTCTCCTAATCGTTGTCATAAATTGCTGACACAGCCCAGAGGAAAAATTCTTTTCTAGATATTAGAAACAATAATTACAGGAGACTCTAAATTCTGAGTAAAGAAATGTCTAGGGAGGCAGCCTTAAGAACAAAAAACAAAAAACTTCCTAAGTATTTGTTTACATTATAACTAGATCTCAGCTTTAGTGATTTCATTTTGGCCAAAGCAAGAGCAGAGACAAAGGAAAACGGTAAAGACAAAGATAAAGAAGCAGAGGCAAAGATCTAAGTGCGTATGTGTGAACCAGTCACCTATGACCCTGATCCTGTCCCTACACGTCACAACAAATTTCTCTACCTCCCACTTCCCATAGAATCTATCATCAATCTCTATTTTTACCCAGTCAGAAATCACCTTTCTCTAGCATTCCCAGAAATGAGAATTTTAGATCACAAAAAAGTGTTGCTCATTCTGTCCCAAAGGTTACCTGTAAAACTACCGTGAAAGGATGTCTGAATTTTTAAATTCGCCTTTAGGAGAGAAGAGGTGCAGAGCAGTGATACATATGTGCTCAGAAATTTTAATGTGTCTTTTAAAAAAAAAGCTACCAAAACTATAACTTCCTAACTCTTCTCAAGCTGTTTCCTCCATTGTCAGCAGGACACAGACGGCCACAGTGAAGTCAGCTAAGCTGATTCTAGATAGCAGTGACATTTATGAGGTGAAAGGAAGAAGGAAAGGGCGAAATCCATCAGTTGGCCACATGGTAAGTCAAGCCCCAAATAACACCCCAACATCGCACATATGTCATTATCTGTACTATCGGAAGTTTTATTTAAATGGCAATAGTCTTCAGAAAATGGGGTTAGAACAGATTTTGCTTTTCCTTTTCTTCTGCTGCCCCATGACCCACAACCAAACTAAATGGTATGTTTGTTTGTGTGGGTATGTGTGTGTGTATGTATGCATGTATGTATGTATCTACACACACACACCCACACCCCCCCACACCCACAAAAATATATGAGGGTGGGAGGTTGGTAAAAAAAGATAGAAAGTCTAGTAGAGCTGGGAGGTGCAAGCAGAGATTTCTTTTAATTTAGGAAAGGTGACATTGGGGGAGGGGGGGTGGGCCCTTTATCACAACAATAAAAAAGGGAAAAAAAAAGACGGAAGGGAAAAGAAAAAAAAACAAAAACAAAAGCACAAACAAAAAAAACAAAAACAAAAACAAAAAAAAAACCTACTTCCAACGCTCTCTAGAGTGTTCAAAATGCTTTCCCTCGATCTCCATCAGTACCTGGGAGGGAAGAATGGGCGTTTTGGTGCAAAGAACGGAGGGCCCCTAGCAAAAGGTGGCCTGGGCCTCTTTAAGCTGTGAAATGGGTCTCTGTTGAGAAAAGATTCCCTAGGCCGAAAGTCTGGCCGGGGGTTCCGTAAGATCATCCCACTCCGGCTGATGGTGTCTCTGTGTGGGGCACCCAAGGCAGGGCCACTGTTGCTGCTGCCTCCCCCACCTCCTCCGTGGGTTGGGCCTAGGTGCTCCCGAGAATGTGTGGGCAGGCTTAGGCCCTCACGAACACGGCTGAGGCCAGGGCCATTGAGGTCCCTCTGTGTGGGGTCCCGGGGTCCTGGGAGCACTCCAAAATGCTCAGCCAGATTCCCTTGGAGGAGGGAGCTATGCTCCTTGGAGAACACTGCGACAGGCCCCGGCACTCCGCTGTGCTCTGCCAGGGGTGGGGCTTGGAAGGAGACCACCCCTGAGTGGTCAACAGGGGGAGGAGGGGGAGGGTTAGAAAAAGGGACGCCACTGCCACCACTGCTGCTGTGCTCCCCAGGGGGCGGAGGAGGAGGTGGAGTAGAGAAGGGAACCCCACTATGATCCCCAGGAGGAGGGGGTGGGGCACCATGGGCTAGGGCTGCTTCCTTTGTGAAGGGGTTCGAAAGATCCACAGAGGCCAGGTGGCCGGGAGTATCCCGAGAAAAGAGCCCACCATGCTCCTTAGAGGGAACAGGCGGAGCAGATGATGGCCCCATAGGCTCTCTCTGGAAGGGTGCCCCATGCTCCAAGGGGGGTGGGGGGAGATGGTGTTCAAAAGTAGAGTTGAAGTTGCTGGAGCGAAAGCCGACACTTTCCTGAAATGAGGGTGCCCGCTCCTTGTATGCCGCTGTTTTGAAGCCAGAAAGCCCCCCTCCACTCCCACCCCCGAGGGGGGCCAGCTCTGAGGCACTCGAGGGGCCATTGTCAAAGGAGCTGCCCGAGGGGCTCAGCTCAAACCAACCCACCCTAGAAGGCTCACGCCCATGTCCTCTATTCCCTTTCCCCAGCACCCGGATGGACTCTACTGTCTGGATGGGCTCCCCTGACATCCTCCTGTTGGAGGCATTATGGTAACCCAAGGTTTCTATGGGGGCCCCTTTCTCCTCAGTACTATCTGGTAAGTCTAAGCAGGAAGAGGAGACTCGGGTTTCTATGCGGTAGTGCTCCTCTGGCTGCTGCTGCTGCTGATCACTGGAACTCAAGCTGGGTTGGACGAGGCTGGCGAGGCTGACCCCATCACCGGTGCTACCCTTGCTGGGGGCCTGGCCAAAATGCTTATCATCGGAGGGCTTGCGTGAGGCATTTTTGAGCATATTCTTAAACTCAATTGTTGAAGTGGTAGAAATGGTGGAGGCCAGGACTTTTTCCACGCCTGAAGTGGGTGGCCGGCCTGTGGGAGTGGCAAGGGTGCTCTGAGGAGAGAAAAGGGAGCGGTGTGGGATTGAGTGAGGAGAGTCTGGGTACTGCTTCTGGGGTAAGCCGAGATGTGCAGTGGTAGACTGAGAAAGGCTACTGTGGTTGGAGTCAGGAGAGAAAAAGGAATCATTCTTACTCGGTGATGGTGACCGGTCTGACCCAGACTCATTCCCTCTTAGGTTATAGGCACCATACAGGCCAGGAGAAGAGGAGAGATGGTCACAACTCTCACTTGGGTCCAGGAGAGCCCTCATTGCTGGAGGGAAGGCAGACTTCACACCAAATTCCTGTGTCCTGTGGCTGTAGCTGGACATGATGGGCTGGTACTCGGTGTCAGAAAGTTTGCTTGCTTTTAGGATAGACTTAGCTGGCTTCTTCTCTAGATTCATCATGGCCGATGGAGGGGGGCCTGAGTATTCAAAATCTCTGTAATCCTCATCCTCCTGGAAAGAGGTATCTGGGTAGAACTTTTCCTGTGGTGAATCCATGAGGGAGGAAGGCCTCTCCATTCCATCAGAAGTTTGCTTGTAGGGGGATTCGCTGCCTAGGCCAAAAGGCCGATAGGAAGATACAGAGTTAGATAGCTCTTGGGAATAGCTATCATCCCTCCCTGGGGGTGGTGACCTTGTACTGCTGGGTGTGGAAGAGCCAGGACTAATGATTTTGGACAGCAAGGACATAGTATCCACATTACTGGATGTAGGCTTGTCCATCATCTCATCCTGGGTAGGAGTTCCACTCCGTTCATCCCGGACAGGAGTTCCATCAATGTTGTCCATGGAAGTGCTTGTTGGGCCTCGCTGAAAGTCAGAGGGATGGTTCTCGGCTGGAATACTAGCCCCCAAGCTGCTGAGAATTGGGATGTTCAGGTTTAACCCACTGAAGCCAGGGTTACCTTTCAAAAAGTTATGGATCTTCATCTCTAGGCTTGGGGAGGTGGGCTCTGACTCTAGCTTTGGCTTAGAGATCTCAGAGGACTGCCCCATAGCAGGTTCAGTTGATGGAATAGCAGGATTTGCACTGTGGGGAGCAGAAAATCCCAGTGAGTTGGATGGTGGCTTAAAACTTGAGGTTGGGAGTCCTGGGTTGTGTCCTACAGGAATCTTGCTAACTGAAGTTGAAGAAACCTCAGAATTTGAAGAATTAGGAGAATAGCTAAAGCTTTTGGGCATAAAGGACTGTGTATTAGAGGGCAAACTCCTCCCTTTCATGCTGGAGATGCTGGTGTTGGCTGGGGAAGATGAAGTGCTCTGGGATGCAGCTTCACTGGAAGCAACTGGGTTCCCAGTAACACTCTGAAGTAAGGATGACAGGCCTAGGGGGAAAGAAAAGATTGGACATCTGAGAAACAACAAAGACAAAGAACTTCTCCCAAACCCAACAAAAATCATGAAGACTAATCAGTCACTCCCATCCAGTCTGATGACACATTAGTAAGATATCTGGGGAAAAAAAACAAAAACAAAACACAAAGCTTTACAAGGAGTAAAGCAAATCTGGTCAAAAAATGCCCAATGGTTCAATGTAACTCAAAACACCGAAGTTATTTATAAAATATGAAAGAACAATAATTCATTGGCTGTTTCTCGCACAGGCTGGCAACATCAATAGTCAGAAAGTACTTCCAATTGCAGAACTTCAGATTATCACGTCTGTTTATCTCTAAAAACTGAAACACAAAAAGAACACATCTCTCTCTCAGACTAACGTAGTCACTGACGCCTACAAAGAAAAAAAAAGTTTTTTTGTGACCCTGGGCAAGTGGCACAGCTGAAAGCCGGCCCCATTTGCTGAGAAATCAAGTTTTCCAGAATGTCTGAGAGGGTTCCAGGGAGGAGTTGTTTCCTCATTGAAAAGAACTGCTCCTGTAAACATTTTGAAGAAAAACCTTCAATTAGTGATAGCAAAAAAACCCTGAAGAAACCTGAGGTTTCTTTCTTTTTTTCTTTTTTTTGGCAATTGGCGTTAAGTGACTTGCCCAGGGTCACATAGCTAGTAAGTGTCAAGTGTTTTGGTCTGAAGCCGGATTTGAACTCAGGTCCTCCTGACTTCAGGGCTGGTGCTCTATCCACTGTGCCACCTAGCTGCCCCTAAGAAACCTGAGGTTTTAACATAGTCTTAGTGTTCTAATCAATTATTAACCAAACGTTAAATGTCCTTATGAAATTAAAATGACTAGCATCTTTTGGCATCAAATACATTAATTTAAGAAACAATTCCTTAGTAACATATATTGAAGAGGAAATAATACTTCAATTAACTCATATTTGTTTGATAACCTTTCTGAAAATTTACAATCAATTTATAAACCTAAAGTTTTATGAAGAATTAATGTATGGAGACTGTCCTAGTCACGCTAACCTTAAACCATTTCTAGTGACCATAATCCATTTTTGAATAATTTTCCTATAGTAATAAAAAGCATTATCCTTCTGGAAAAAAAAATTCAAGAGACTCAAACATGAGTTTCAAAAAAGTACTTCTACAATCTAACTTTGATAAGCTATTTTTCAACAATGGTATTAAGGCAGGATGAGATGAAGTTCTCACGAGCTACACTTCATTTCCGGACAAATAAAATTAACTTTCATCAACACTAAAATAACCTCAGTCTTATACTTCTGTCAATGCCAGAAGAGAATGCAGTAGATAATTGTCAGTAAAAGTTTTAAGATGAGCTTTGTATCCGTGTATCTTGAGATCTAAGAGTTCTTAGACATATTTACTTTTGTGTAGAAACAACTCTATAAAAGTTGACAAAATTAATTTTCTTGTTAGAAAGTGAAAGGAGATATTTTATTTTTACTTTTATTACTTGAAAAGTTACCCACTGCTCATTCTATTAGCAACAGAATTATTTTAGAATGTCTTTTCTGTATTTGCATTACAGTGGAAAACTCATGTGATACTTCTGCACTGATTTGCTGTAAATTTCTGTTGTTTAGTCGTTTCAGTTGTGTTTGGATTTTTGTGACCCCATTTGTGATTTTCTTGGCAAAGATACTGGAGTGGCTTGCCATTTCCTTCTCCAGTTCATTTGACAGATGAGGAACTGAGGCAAACAATTAAGTGACTCGCCCAGAGTCACATAAATAAGTGTCTAGGCTGGATTTTAACTCAGGGCTTTCTGACTCCAAGCTCGGGGATCTATCCATCATACCACCTAGCTGTCTACTCTAAGTGAGCACTTAGAATTATGAAAAAATAAAAAACTCCAATACTATTAGTGTACAATATAAAAAAAAAGTAGGTGTATTCAGGACTTTGTACATGGAGATAAGAAGGGGAGCAAAGGGGAATTTATATTTATATTAAAATGTCCAAATCATCATTGAAATTAGTACTATGACATGCGGTAACACTACCATTAATTTTATATGTTCTATGTCAGTGGAAAGAAGAGTGATTTGATCTTAACTATTTGCCAATGACCTACACACTCTGCTTATTAACAAGAGTTACTTAGATATTTGGACAGGTGGTTTATTTCAACAGTGCTAACCAAGATGATCTGGTTATAATGAATTCTGTTAAATGTCAAATCTTACACAACCAATACCCCATCAGTCCTTGACCATGCAGCAATCAGGATAACGAAGGCAATACCTTGGTACTTAGCACTGTCCTATGAACATATTAATGCTATATAAAATATTCTAATGTGAAAGGTTTTTACCAAAGGCTGTACTAGACATTCTTTTGAAGAGTGGTTATTAGCAAAGAGCTGAAGACCCTTCCCTAAAAGTTCTTCTCCTCATTGGGACATAGGTTCTCAAAAGCCATGCAAGCAGAAGTCAAGTTCTGGTAAGTTCAACCAAGTTGTAAAAAGCCTGTGAGTCAGGTCTGGGCAACAGAATAGAATGCACCTGCTGTCTAAAGACCAAGCCTAGCTAAGTAAGAAAAGGCTAGCCAGCAATAGTAGGCTGGCCACACATAATGAACTCTTTATCTGGATGGAGTAAGACACAAAACAAAGAAAAATACAAAATGGCTTTCAGTTCAGTGTCATTTCTTTCTTTTTCTGCAGTGATGGTAGTGATGGTGGTAGAGTGGTGGAAAGGGGAGTAATGATGGATAATAAGAACCATACATTTTAATCAAACCATCTATAAACTTTAACTGTTTCTACAAAAAATGTGAAAGCTTTGTCTAATTACCAAATTAATATAATTTTAGAGAAACATTGCCACACTAATATAGATGTTTTTGATACAGATAAAACTGGAAGCAAATAAACATAAAGGGGACATGCCAGTCATATAGTGAGAGACAGACCGAATGCTGCACTGATGTCTACAAAATGTTAAAATACCCAGAGGTGGTCCTTGAGCAAGCTGTTCTGTGGAGACATCGCACAGACTTAAAAGGGCTTGGTGAAAGGAAAACCCCCATCAATGATATGCTGGAACCACTGCAGTATTGAAACAAGATGCAGAGTGGAGACGTCATCAAGTTAGAGAGCTATAAAGAGGGGCACAAAAAGAGAACTACAGAATCCAACAAGTGTTCTGGTATATGCATCTTTGTAGTGTGTGATAATGTTTCCATTTTCCCCAAATTAGGATATAATGAAGAAGTTTTCATGTTCAAATCTGTTACAATGGGGTTCTACAGGTATATGATCTGTTACTAGAAGATAAATATTTTGAGTTACGCTTTACTTTAGCTAACAGGAAGATCCATGATGGCATGGTAGATAAAAGCATGCCTCAGAGCCAGGAAGAGTTAGGTTTAAGTCCTGCTTCGGACACTAGGCTGTGTGACCCTGGGCAAGTCACTTAACTTTTCAGTGACCCCTATGTCACTCTCTAAGATGATAAACTGCAGAACAGATGCAGATTTGCATCTGTGGAGGGAATTTCTTCATTGGGAATTCCTTACATGGGAGTGGAGGGGAGGGAAGGGAAGGGAAGAGGAAGGGAATAAACATTTATATGCTTAATAAGAACATACCATGTGGCAGGCATTGTGCCGAGCATCTTTTACAAAAATTATTTTATTTAATCCTCACATCAACACTGATGGTAGGTAATATTATGACCCCCAGTTTACAGTTTAGGAAATTGGAGCAAACAAGTTAAGTGACTTGCTCAGAGTCACAAAGCTAATAAGTATCTGAGGCTGGATTTGAACTCAGGTCTTCTTGACTCCAGGTCCAGAGTTCTAACCATTGTGTCACCAGATACCTCGGATTACATGGATGACATTACAGATTTTGTAAGGAGAAAAATTATTAGCCTCAAACAGTATTCTTTGAATCCACATTGACCAGAAACATTCATATACAAATCTAAGTCCTTTGGAGGCCCGTTGGGTTACCTTGCAGTGCAGGTGCTGCCTGCGTTTGAGTTTTGGAAAGGGCAGAGAGAATGCTCTCTGGGGTGATTTCCACCTTTGAGAGGATGTTGGCCAGAGGATTGTGAGATGTTGTTGTAGCAGGAACAGGCGCTTTCAGGTTGCCCGGGAGGTGTGTGGGGCTGGTAGGAGTGCCTGGAGACGGTCTTGATGCAGGACTGACCCCTGGTGGAGAAAGATCAAAGTGCAATTAGACATGAATAATAATACCTAGATTCATGAAATGTCAAATCTGAAAGGGTCCTGAGAGGTAATTTAATCCAGTACCAATAAAGCATCTAAAATAAGCACTCATCTACGCTCGCAGGGAACCAACAACCTCTAAGAACAGCCCATTCCACTTTTGGGCAGCTCTAACTGGATATTTCACTTCAAGTCTAAAACAGCCTCTTTGAAATTTCCACACAACATTCTAGTTCTGCCTTCTGGGCCACGTAAAAGCAGCTTGATAACTTTTCACTTGACAACTTTTTAAATACTTAAGAAACAGTCAGTATATCTCCCAGTTCCTTCAATTAATATTCGGATATTCTCCTCTGCTGTTTAAATCAAGCATTTTAGAGGCCGTCCACAAATGAAATCATGGTATTTCTCTACACAGCCCTCTATCCTTAGTTCATGATGTATTATTTCTATTTGCTAAGTCGCCTCAGAAGCACCTGTCTCTTCATGTGTACGTATTTCATTTCCCCCCATTAGACTTGGGACACGGGTAGAATCACTGCACCTTTTCCTGTGATGTACTGGGTCCACACTACAGGGACCCATACATATCGAGTGCTCAATAAAGGTACAGGAGAAAAGTTGCTTGCAAGATAGGAAGTGTTTTGCTACTAGAAAGCTTATTATTACAAAACATTTTTCCCTTTTAAAAAGACTAGGTAAGCAGTCTCCTTTTCAATTATAATTACATTTTAAAAATGTTAGCCTAATTTAATACTTGAGAATAATCTTTTCCCATCCTCCTTGCTGGCACTTACCTGTATTCTTCATGACGGATGTTAGACTGCTAAGGATGGAACTGATCTTTGCCAGATCCACATTGGCTAGATTCGGCAAAGCCAGGGCAGGAGAAGGGGGCAGAACTGATGTGCTCATGGGTTTTGGTGGTGGTGGTGGTGGAGTTGATGTCACAGCCACAGAAGCTGTGGTGCACGGTGCTGCCTTTGGGACACTTTCTGTTAGTTTTGTGGGTGCAGATGTGGATATAGCTGGTTTCTCAACAGGTTTTTCCTTCCTGTCCTCCACTGTTTAAAAAGAAAAGAGCAATGAAGCATCCTGCTGATGGCCTATGTTTTTTTCTTTTGATAAAGGCGTACTATGTTTCTTCCCTGATTTATAACTGAATCTGTGATTGAAATTTACAAATGCTACAGAGAGAAATTATCATATGAGTTTTTTCTCCTTAATTCCTTAAATTCTTGTTCCACCATTTCAGAAGCTAGATCAAAATTTCATAAAATTTTACCGTTCACAGAACTTCCTCTAGTTAAACTATATTCTTCTCTGATTAACAAGAATTTATTAAGCACTTTTGGTAGCAAGTGCTCTTTGAGGTGCTAGGGTTAAAGACAAAGGGTCTAAGATTATATTCTAACGAGGAAGATAGTCTGCACATAAATACTAAACAACAAATATGAAACAGATATAAAGTAGCCTTGGGAAGAAAGGCCCTAGAGTTGGGAGGTCCAGGAAAGGGGCGATGGAAAAGGTGGTGCTTGAAATGAGTCTGGAAGAAAACCAGAGATTCCAAAAGTAAAGGCAGAAAGGAAAAACAGGGGAAAGCTAATGCAAAGGCAATGGTTTAGGAGATAGTATTACATGTGAGGAACAGCAAGAAACTCAGGATGGCTGAGCTGTGACATTCGTAGAGCACAATGGTTATTAACAAAGCAGGAAGAATTAAGATGGGGCTGGTTTATTAAGAGCATTAAATAACAAAGGGTGGGGTTTATAGTTGATCCTGGACTTGGAAAGCCACTGCAAGATTTTGAGGCTGGTTTCCTGAGGCTTCAGGAAAACTGCTTTGGGAACTGTGACGACAGCCATGTGGGTGGAGAGGGGATGTGTATGAGAGATGTGGTGGGGAGAGAAATGACAACACCTGGTAACTGACTGGCTATGTGAGTTAAGAGTGAGGAGTCAAGAAGGGCACTGGGATTGTGAACGAGGGTGACTGGAAGAATGTTAGTGCTCTGGGTAGTAATGAAGCCTGAGGAGGCTCAGGTTTTGGGGAGAAGACATGAGTTTTGTTTTAGATGTGTCGAGTCTCTGGGACACTCAGCGGATGATGGGAGACTGGAACTTGGGAAGGATTCTGGGGCTAGATATACAGATCTAGGAATCATCTGCACAAAGATGACAACTGAACCTATGGAAGCTGATAAAGTCATCAAGTACGAGAGCAGAGTAAAAATGGCCCAAGACAGAATCGTGTGGTATACCCACAGCAAGGGAGGAATGCCATGGATGAATGGGTGAAGAAGACTGAGAAGGGACACTCTTACAGGCAGGAGGAGTACCAAAAGAAAGCGGTGTGCTAAAAACCCAGAGATGGGAAAGCTGTTGTCAACAGGACAAGGACTGAGAAAAATCCATAAGGTTTGGCAATTAAGAAATTATTGGTAGCCTGGGAGAGAGCAAGTTTCAGCTGAGCAATGAGACCAGTCTAAGAAAGAAATAAGAAGGAAGCAAGAGAAGGCAGGGAGGAGTGAATAAAGTCCTTTCTGATTCCTCTGTGTCCATTTCCTCAAGTACTTTTTACTTTTTAAAACCCTCCTAATTAAATTCAGATTTTAAAATAATTACACTTAGACTTCATTGGGAATATAATAAGACATAAAATATGACCCACTCATAACAGCAAGAATAAGCGTCTGAGACTAGTACAACACAATAATGGTTCTGCAGTGTCACCTCAGCAGCTCAGGACAGGTTAGAAAGAGCACTCAGGAAACAATCAGTCTGTTAGTTCTTAAGAGAGAATCAGTAAGAAAGCTCTAGTTAGTATCCTTCTTTTCCCAAGTGTGCAAGGACTAAGGTGCCTTTGGAGGCTGGCTATGGGTAATCTACCACAAAACATCAAATTATTCTCCCTTTTTTCTAAGTCCAAATATACTAGTAAAGAAGAACCAGCATTTCTCCCTTTGGAATATTAAAATCAAAATGATCTGCATGTGTTTGCTTATCCCCTATGGACATACCGATGATTTTGGACGTATCGTCCTCCACATCAGAGAGTTCCATGTCTTCTACATCCCGGTTGTCCGTAGCAGGCTCAGGGGTGGCTGATTTCTCACTCTCCACAGCTGGTGAGCGGGACTCCTCTCCTCCCATTCCCTGGAAAGGGGACTCAGAACCAGTTGGTGAGGGGGCATCCATGCTTGGTGAAGGGACTGGAGATTCTTCAGGATCAGGCAGGGTTGACTTAAGCTGATCTAGTTTCTTCTTTAAATTGTTCACTCTGTTAGCGAAGGTTTTATATGCCTGATGGAGAAGGAGAGAACCAATCATTTTTCTAAAGAAAGGACCAACAATTATTATTTTGATTCAGTTCAAATTAAGCAAGCATGTGCATGGTACATAGAACTGTGTACCACCAATACCAAGTGTGAGTATAAAGAAAGAAAAGACTTTTCTTTTTGCCAAGAATTTTCCAATTTTTCATGGAAAGTAAATTCTAGCCAGTGTGGGCCAAACTCTACAAAGAACCCCAAGTAGCTTCCTGTGATAATGGGCTAATAGGCAGAGTATCTAGCAGTCAGTCATCAGTGCTCTCTCCCAAGTGCAGGTTATCTCACAAGACAAACACCCAACTACCCACAAAGGTATTACCATCAGGAGGTTTATCACTTACATTGGCCACCACTTTGACTTCCTTGTACTGTGCTTCATAGAAAACTCCAGCATTCTCCAGTGCCTCTGTCAGGGAGGGCCCATTCTTCACCTGCTTGTCTAAGCCATTCACAAACTCTTCCAGTTTGGAGCTTGCCTCTTCAAATTCTTTGGAAAACTTTTTCCCACCGGTTTTATCTTAAATGACAGAGGCATTCAGATTAGGAATCTGAAAGCTAAACCTGGAATAAATCGTAAACTACCGAAGGGCAAAAACGGTATCTTATCTCGCCTTGTATCTTTCTCTGTGCCTACCACAACATACTGTATGGTGTAGGCACTTAAAAAACCTTTGCTGAATAAATGAAAACACTGTTGAGTAAGTTCTCTCTCAAAAATCCAGGGACCCACTTTTGTTGCCCCAGAGTGCGACCTACCGTGTGGTCCTACAAGCTAACACCTCAAAGAACTTCCCCAATTCCTAAAACTGCCACGTATGATTCAAATGACCTTGCTGGGGGAAGAGACAGAGCAGAGGGGAAAGGGGGACTAGTGGCTCCTTGGAAATAGCTGTAATTGTAACTAAAATGTGGCAACTGCTTCTTTCCTTACTGAATTCAATGTCAATGTGACCTAACAAAATAAGTTTCAACCCAATTTTTTATACTCCTATCACAGTTCTCCCTATGATGGTCAATTCACCTGGGATATAAGTGGGTGATTTTCAAAGATGAAACTCTAAATTCTGTCACAATAAAATGGAATCCAGCATCAAAAACAATCAGATAATGCCTGACACAGTAGTATGTGTATAATAAATGTCTGTTTAATGCTGGGTAGTTAGATCAATACCCTTTTATCCCCTAGAGGAAGAAGAGTGTTAAGTCAGAAAGAACCTGAATGACTATCAAATTGTGGAGAGGAGTTCTGTTCTGGTCCAGACTGTACAAAGTGGCAACTGAAGTCCCTTTTATCCTTCTAAGTATAAAAGAGTACAAGCCCTAAGGAGGGTTCCTCAGTTTTCTGGCCACTGGGAGACAGTCTCGAGTTCCGGGAAAACACTCCTTTTCTAGGATTACTGCATGGACTGTTTCATCTCAGAACCAGAACCAAAAATGAGACATAGATGGCAATGAGGCAATTCTCAACAATCCTGTGAAGCATGTAGGACAAACAATATTCTCTTTAAAAGTGAGGAAGCCAAGGCCCAAAAGGGTTAAGTAAGAGAAAGTGACCTCTCTGTGTCACACAAAAAATATTACATCCTTCACATTTGGGAAAACAAAAACAAAACCAAGCCCACAAAAAGCAAAATAAAAACAAACAAACAAAAAAAACCCAACAAAACAAAACCTAATCCAGGTAAGACAAGTACTTTGAATTATTTATTTATTATTTGGATTTACATAATCTCTTGTCCATTACCTTTCCGTGATCAATGACATACATTTGGGATAAAGGCACATCTCGTAGCCATGGAATAGGGAGAAAAAACAACTGGCTGATGTGGGTCTCACTACATCACTACATCGCTAGATCCTCCCAGGAGGTAATCTCTATTTAGTGCTAGAAGTAACCTCAGAGGCAAAGCTGGTCTAACTGCTTTCATTTTATAGAAGTTGAAACTGAGGTCCAGAGATAAGGTGACTTGCTCCAAGGTCAAAGGAGACAGGAAGCACCTGAGCTTGGACTTAACAGACAAAACCAAGTAAGTTTAAAAAATACTATAGTAGAGGAATGGGAAGGCAGGTAAGGTTTTATTTGCCATTTATATTTATTAAATCATAGCTTAGGAAATCAGTACCAAGAACAATCTGTTTTCCAGGACCACAGGAGGAAATGAGTTTGACTATCTCCTTAAAAATGTTACCTCTGTTAAGAAAATGGATCACTCCACTTAAAACAAGGACATCTTGAACAAAAATAAATAAAAATGATTAAAAACCCAATGGTGGAAAAGCTATGGAGAAACAGACACTTTCACCATGTAATTTGCATTGTCAAAATAGTTTGGTGGCGCATACTGGTAGTGTTTAGAGTTCTAAAACTGATCAAGATCACCTTGACCCAATACTCTCACCACTGACATAAACTCTAGGAAGGAAAAGAAAAAACACAAACTCATTGTACAAACATGTTTCGATTTTGCTACTTAGACTAACATATATGAGAATTTCTATGCACAAATGTGAAAAAATATACATGCAATATGGAGAAAAACAATAACCCCAAAAAACCACCCAAGAAAGGATGAGGTATACACTGATTATACTTTTCTACTGGTTATTTTCCTATTACCTATAAACGTGCCCATGTCTACTCCATCCTCAAAAAACCTTCACTTGATTCACCCATCCCTGCTAGCTAATGTCCCTATTTCTCTTCCCTTTGGTGACTAAATTTGAGAAGACCATCTGTGACAGAAGCATCCACTTCCTTTCCTGTCACTCTCTTCTTAACTCTTTGAAGTCTGGCTTATGACCTCATCATTCAACAGAAACTGCTCTCTCCAAAGTTACCAATGATTCCTTAATTGCCAAGTCTTCCTCTCCACGTTCATCCCTCCTGACCTCTCTGTGGCCTGTGACGCCGTCAGCAGTCTCGTGGTTCTCTGTGAGTTCTCCTCGTTCCCATGTGGCCTCTTCTCTGTCTCTTGGTGGATCGTCATCCACATCACGTCTGCTAACAGCAGAGGTCTCACACAGCTTGTCCTGGGCCACCTTCTTTTCTCCATCTATACTATTTCCCTTTGTGATTTTTTCAGCTCCCATGTATTAAATTCTCAGCAGATGATTCGAAAATCTACTTGTCCAACTCTAACTTCTCTCCCATCAGGTTCAAATCTCCAATTGCTTTTTAGACATCTCAAACTGGATGTCTAATAGATGGCTTAAATTCAACATGAACTCATTATCTTTCCCCTCAAAACTCTCCCCTCTTCCAAACTTCCCTCTTCCTATTGAGGGTACCACCATCCTCCCCATTACTCAGGTTCACATTCTAGGGCTCATCTCCTCAACACCTCACATTCTCATTCTACATATCCAATTAGAGATCAAGTCCTATAAATTTCACCTTTGTAATATCTCTTGTATAGGCTCCACTCTCTCCTCTGACGCTGCCAGCACCCCATGTCCTGATTATTTTAATAGCCTGCTGGTTGGTCTCCCTGTTTCTTCTCTCCATCCATCCTCACACTTCAGCTATTAAATTAACCTTCTTGAAACATAGATTTGACCATATCAACCTCCTCCCCCCAATTCAAAACTTCAGTGGCTGGTCCCCTATTACCTCCAGTATCAAATATAAAATCCTGTGGCTTACAAAACCCCTAATTTAATAACCTTGTGCCAATTCCCCCATATCTATGTACACACATACACACACAAACGCACACAGAGAGTTGTCAATGAACAATAAAAAACTTTAAGAAAGTAATTTCACCTTTTAAGCACTTCAGGGTCTCTGTACTGCACACATCTACTCGCATAGTGGCCAGCTGCTTCTCCTTCAGTTCAATCTGGTCCTCAGAACGCTTGTATAGCAGTAGTTCATCAATGAGAGCCTGGGACTGAACATAGCCACCACAAGATTTAGCATATTATACACACTATGCAAGTGTATACTTGCCTGATTATTCTGTACCATACTTGTTTTCAGTCTGATATGATCAAAGTTTAACAAAACTTTGAAGGAAATAGCTTCAACACTCCTGATCTAAAAATTCAGGGGCTTCTATGTAGATTATCAGATCAAAACAACAATTCTCAAGAGAGTGCGAATCAGTGGGTGTAAGGTTAAATATAGGAGGGTAGGGAAGTCTATTTTGGATTTTTAGCGAGTAAAATGTTGTTTTTAACAACATTCCATACTTTAACCCAGACATGCAAATTCTATTTTAACAGATTTTCATAAAGGAAGGGAACTCCTTAGGATTTTTTCTGGGGGGTGGGGAGGTGGAAAGGATTAAAGGGAAAGAGTCAGACCAGACCTATGATTTCGTCTCTGTAGAGAATTCCCAGTAAGGAAACTTCTTCCACCAATGCAGAATGGCACCTCCCTACAACTCATAGCAGAAGAGTTGCCTTGGGGCACTTGGAGATTAAGTGACTTGCCAGGAGATTGTACAGAGGATCTGTCTGGAGCAGAACTTGAAACCAGGTCTTCCTGACTCTTAAGCCTGCTCTCTGTTCACTTTCCCATGCTACCTTACTCCTTTAGTTATCAGAAATTTAATATGTCCCTATCTTGGCACCTTGAATATGAACTTTGAAAGCAGGTTCTCACTCAAAATAATACATTAATAAAAATCAAACTGCCTAGACCCCAGGTGAAGAACCTGGGGCCTAGAGGGCATGGGTGGCCTTCTGGGTCCAAGGATTTGTTCTGTAAAACTTGAGGACTTAGAGGGCCACATGTGACCTTGCGGTTGTAAATTCCCCCCCCAAGGCTCTAATCCCACTGATCTACTTCTCTGCCCTCATCTCTCAAAAGATAGATGTAGATATAAAGAGATATAGATAGCCATGTACATATCTATCTATGGAAAATATAAATAAAACATAACCATGGAAAATGTTTGTTAAAAGTGACTAGTATACAATATGCTGCTTTGGCAAGTTTCACTACTTTGTAACTTACTCGAAATTCGGCGACTATCTTAGACTTGAGAGCAGCTTTAGGGTTGGTGGAGGCTGTTGAAATCAAGCAAACAAATGAATTTAGAAGTCAAGGAAATATGGAGAGTTGCACCTGAAACTCAGAAAAAAAAAACAAAAACCCTCTTCTCTAAGTTCTACAAGATACACAGTCTAAGAGTTTATTCTTTGAATATACGTCAAACATGCATTTGCATATCATTTGTGTTGTGTCATTATTTTAAACATTAGGGATTTTCTGAAGGCAATGAGGGAAATACTCTCCAGAGCAGAAATTTTGGCACTTTTAATGTACCAAAAGAGAAAAACACATACTCTATTATTTAGTTGGCCTTAGCCCACTTACCTCCAAATAGTCCCTGGATACACTACAAATTCTGAAATACTAAGTGGCAGGACATAGCTGTCCTACTGTGCTGTGCAGTGGCAGCATTTCAACACCACCTAACAAAGAATCTGTCTCTCAAGTCAATTAGTTATGAATAGTGGCTGAAGAACATCTTTATGGATGTCCCTTTTTCTATCCCTAAGTCTTTAGCCCAGGGCACTTTTACTAATTTAATAGCAGAAGTAGGCAGAGAAAGTTCTAAAGATATCTATGGTTGACATTTTGGTGAAATGTTGGCTCACTGTTATTAAATATGCAAATAATGGACAAAATTATGCCAGTGGTCTCCCTAATTCACACTGAATATTATATGGCTGCTGGAGCAAAACTATCTCAAGTTATCTTGCTTTAGCTATTCATTTCTACTGTCTATATTACCTTGATTTCCTCCACACTTTCAAGTCTATCTCACTGTTTCTCAGTTCTGGCCCATACAGGCTACCACATGCAGTATAATCCATTCCCCTGATTTCTTGTTGGGAAGTTTTCATAAAGTATGGTAAACCTAAGAAGAGCTCCAGGTAGAGAATAAGCTTCTGGCCAGGAGGGAGGCCACATCTACTCTGGCAGAGGGTGTCCCCAAATCTGACAGGCTTCATGGCTCCCACAGAAGTGCTTCTTATGTCTATTCTGTTCTTCAGTTCTGTTGTTTAATGCCTCTAACTTCCTATATCCTTGAACCTGAAAATAAGCCTGAGAAATACCATAACGAGATTATTTTCTTCTTTTCTTTTTAAAGTATCCCCCAACTACTCTTGAATCTTGGCATATTTAAACCCTTCTGATGTGCTTTCATTGCTTAAAAGTGGTTTTCTAGCAGCAACTCCTTGGTGCCTTCTAAGAGTATGCCAGTGGGAGCTTCCCAGGCCTGGACAACAGGCTTGCCCATGGTTTATGCCAGGTGCGTTGCCAAATGGTTTACATTTTCTTCTGCTCCACAAAAAAGGAGGTCATTTTACATTAGTTGAGATAGGTCACTTTGGTTTCCTTACTTTGTGATTTCTTCCACAGCTTATTCGGTTGTTTGTTCAGATTTTCTTTCAGCTGCTTCTGAGTTTTGAAAGTGGTACCTGGAAAACATTTCAGTTGCTGCAGCCTGGCATTACGGGAAGCTGCTCTGACTCTCCACTTCAGTTTTGCCAAAGTTGCAGCATGATAAAAGGAAATCCACGATTGTGTGTGGTTTCTTTCGTTTTGTCCTCTCTTTCTCTCTCTCTCTTTCTCTCAAAAATACCCACCCAAATCTAAGAAGCTGCCAAATAAAAATTTTCTAAAGTCAATGAAATTAATGACCAAGAAGAATGGAGGAAGATGTAAAAAAAATTCCCTCTTAATGAATTGCAATTAGAAATTCAACAGCTTCTTAGAAAATATTTCTATTTTTAAAAATAAACTTTTGTATAATTGCTGGTCAGTGTCAGAAATTACTGGCTTGTTCAGTTTTAATAACTTATTCATAATCAACTAATCCACAGGAAGAAAGTAAATGGAGACTTCTCTGCTTCATGTCAAGACAGTTTTAATGTAAACACTTATTACTTACTTTAGTATCTAAACAAACCAAAGGTATCTGAAGAATGACAAGGTGTATTTGCTAACAATGCGAACTAGTACCCTTGTTCTTGAATTCAACAATAGATGACAGAGGAAGAGCAATGATTAATAATACAAGCACTGAGCAGCAAAAATTCTCTATTTCAGTAGTACTGAATCTGCTCTAACTTGCATTATTCTAGCAAAAGCAGAGGACACATCTGTCATTTTCATATCTATGTATATCATATATTTTTCAGCTTATTATTACTTGATGTATTCCACTTTAGTTGTATTTTTCCTAGAGGCCCTAGGTTAACTTATTTAGCAACCAAAAAAAGTATTCTTTGTTGGAAGTCCATTTGGGGGTGTCCTACCCCACCCCTTAAAAAGCAAAGAAAAAAGGTAAAGAAACTAAGATTAAAAATTTTAAGAAAAACTAGATACTTACTCAAAGCTTCTTTTAGTACCACAATCGTTTCTTCAGGGTATACATTTCTCTCTTCCCAGATTTTAAAAATCCGTTCTACAGACTTAGAGACAGATGGATCCCTAATTGAGGAGAAGAAAAAAATACTATAGTTTAATATTCCAAATTGGTACTCCAAAAATAAAACTCATGCTAATAATGAAACAGTTAAGTTTCATGATTAAAAAAAATTATCTAGGAACACTTCTCTACACTATGTGCAGAACCTGCAATCTTAAAAAAACAAAAGTTCTTTAAAAATTCTTCTTGATGTGCAAGCATACTTTTCTGATTGATTCTTTAAACCATTCTTCTCAGGTTCTGATCTAAACCTTCTCTTGCCAAGCTACCTCTTCTGCTCTTTTCCCCTCTCTCTTAGCTGACAAGCTCACCACGGATTTCATTGAGAAAACTGAAACCATCCATCCTGAGCTTCACTTTATCCCCAACTCTATACTTCAAATCATCTCTATGTTATCTCAAACTCTCCTCCCATGCTCCAAGCTGAGGAGGAAATGGCTCTTCTTATAAATACCAGCCTTTTTGTTTGTGCCCTTAGTATCAGCACTTCTTAGCTCCTTGGTGGAACACCTCTTTCTCTGCTCAACTTTCAATCTCTCCTGATTCCTACTACGTACAAACATACCAAGATCTCTCCCATCCTTAAAAAAAAAACCTGAACTTGATTCTATAATCCCCTTAAGGTACATATCCCTTCTCTCACTTATTTTACAGTCAAACTAGGAGAAGCTGCCTACATTTACTGCCTTCACTTTCTCTCCCACTCACCACTCTATCCTTTACAAACTGCATTCTTGTCTCAGTCAGTAAGCATTTATTAAGTGCCTACTATGTGCTAATACATAAAAAGAAAGACAAAAAAGCAGCCCCTGTTCTCAAAGACCTCAAAGCCTAATAGGGGCAGAGAGGGAGACAACATGCAAACAACTCTGTGTGTGTGTGTGTGTGTGTGTGTATGAAAAATATAAACTGGGGATTTTTATCAAGAGGAAGGCACTAGCATTAAAAGGGATCAGAAAAGGTTTTTTTTTTTCTTTTTAGGCAATTTGGGTTAAGTGACTTGCCAAGGGTCACAAAGCTAGTAAGTGTCAAGTGTTTGGTCTGAGGCCTGATTTGAATTTAGGTCCTTCTGACTTCAGGACTGGTGCTCTTATCCATTGCACTACCTAGCTGCCCCCTAAAGTGATTTTTAATTCTTTTTTTGGGGGGGGGGTGGGAGTGGGGTTCTTGCCTAGGGTCACAGAACTAGTAAATTAGTAAGTGTTATGTGTCTGAGGCCAGATTTGAACTCAGGTCCTCCTCAATCCAGGGTCAGTGCTCTAACCACCGCACCACCTAGCTGCCCCCCAACATCCTTTGTATAAGGTGGGATTCAAGGACTTAAAGGAGCCTCATCACTCCAAACTTCCTAATGATCTCTTAACTGTCAAATCTGATTGCTGACCTCTATGGAGCATTAAATATTGTTGACTATCTCCTCCTTCTCAACCCTCCTCCCTGGATCTTTGTGCTTCTCTTCTGCCTCTCTTCCTACCTGTTTGGCTGTTCCATTCTGTCTTCTTTGCTGGATCGTTATTCAGTCCTTATATACCTCATGGCTCTGCTCTGGGCTCTCTTCTCTCTTAGGATCTTTGTCAGCAGAGATTTCAACTCTCATCTCTATGTATTCAAGTCTCACAACTATGTATCAAGCCTTAGTTTCTTTCGTGATTTTGTCTTGCATCTCCAACCAAGCAGCTATCTCTAAATATCCCTTAGGCACTTCAAACTCAGCATGTTCAAAACAGAACTCATGACCTTTTCCCTCAAACCTACCCCCCTCCTTCCACTGCAGGCTCACAATCTCAAAAATCTCTTATCCTTCACCCCTCATGTCTAATTAGCTGCTAAGTTTTGTTGATGCTATTTCTATAACACCTCTCCCATCCATTACCTTATTTCCACTCATCCACCATCCTGGTTAAGACCTTTATTATCTCTTGCCTGAAGGTTACGTAATAATCTTTCAATTATTCTGCGTAGATCTGACCATGTCATTATCACTGAGGAAGTTCTACCTCCCTCACTGCCCAGATAGATAAAAGTTCATTCGAAAGTAAACCAACATTTATTAAACATCTATTAAGTACAAGGCTTCTTCAAGGCTCTGATCTCAAAAAACTTACATTCTACTATCTACCACAATAATAGTAGATTAAAAAAAAAAGGAATGCTGGGCATAGTTTACTGTCTATCCTTGATTGTGAGACAGCAGATTTCAAGGAAAAAGAAGGGATAGATTGGATCCAAAGGGCTTGGCTACTCTAAAGAATGAAGTCTGGTGACATAAATAATATCATTCTAATGAACAAGAAAAGTAGAAATGATCTAAAGAGAATAGATGTGACTACATAATTATTAATTTAGATTTTTTTTTTTTTGGGCGAGGCAATTGGGGTTAAGTGACTTGCCCAGAGTCACACAGCTAGTGATGATCATATATCTAAGGCTGAATCTGAACTCAGGTCCTCCTGACTCCAGGGCTAGTGCTCTACCCACTGTGCCACCTAGCTGTCCCTGTTCAGATTTTTTTAAAAGATGTACATAGATGAAGGAAGGCTTTTGTGAAGGAAGCTTTTGACAAAATCCAACACTCATTCCTATTAAAAACACTAGAAAGTACAGAAATAAATGAAGCTTTCCTTAAAATGATAAGTAGTATCTATCTAAAACCATCAGCAAGTATTATCTGTAATGGAGATAAGCTAAAAGACCTTCTAATAAGATCAGAAGTGAACCAAGTATGCCCCCTATCACCACTATTATTCAATATTGTACGAGAAACACTAGCTATAGAAATAAGAGAAAAAGAAATTGAAGAAATTAGAATAGGCAATCAGGAAATAAAAACTATCACTCTTTGCATATGATATGATGGTATACTTAGAGAATCCTAGAGAATCAACTAAAAATTAGTTGAAATAATTAACAACTTCAGTAAAGTTACAGGATATAAAATAAAACCTACATATATCATCAGCATTTCTACATATTACTAACAAAGTCCAGCAGGAAGGGATAGAAACAGATATTCCATTTAAAACAATTGCAGACAACACAAAATACTTGGGAGTCTACCTGCCAAGACAAACCCAGGAACTATATGAACACAATTACAAAACACTTTTCACACAGATAAAGTCAGATCTAAACAAATGGAGAAATTTTTTTTTTTCCTTTTGCAAGGCAACTGGGGTTAACTGACAGGGTCATACAGCTGGTAAGTGTCAAGTACTTAAGGCTGATTTGAACTCAGGTGCTCCTGACTGTTCTAGCTACTGTGCAACCTACTTGCCCCTCAAATGGAGAGATATTAATTGCTCATGGGTAGGCTCAGCCAAAATAAGAAAAAAAATGACAATTCTACACAAATTAATTTGCTTATTCAGTACCGTATCAAACTACCAAAAATTATTTTATAGAGCTCAGAAAATATCAAAATTCATCTGCAAGAACAAAAGGTCAAGAAAATCAAGGCAATTAATGGGAAAAAAAGAAGTAAAAGAAAGCGGCCTAGCCATACCAGAACTCAAACTATTACAAAGAAATAATCATCAAACAATTTAGTACCAGCTAAAAAATACAGTGGTAGATCAGTGGAACAGGTTAGGTACACAATGTACAGAAGTAAATAATCATAGTAATCTAGTGATTATAAACCCAAAGATCCAAACTTTTGGGACAAGAGCTCATTATTTCACAAAAATTGCTGGAAAAATTGGAAAGCAGTTTAGCAGAAACCAGGTAACAGACCAACAGTTCACATTGTATTCCAAGATAAGGTCAAAATGAGTACATGATTTAGACATAAAGGGTGATATCATAGGCAATTAGGGGAAGCATGGAAAATCTGGCCTGTTGGATCTATGGCTAAGGGAAGAATTTGTTACCAAACGAGAGAAAGAGGGCACTATAGGATGTAAAACTGATAATTTTGATTATATTTAATTAAAAAGTGTTTGCAGTTACTGTGGTGGGACCTGACTCTGAAGGACTTTTTTTTGTGGAAAGGAAACTGAATAAAATTACAAAATGTCCTGGGACCATAGCAGATTAAAGGAGCTTGAACTGGACTGGACCTGAAGAGATCCTCTTGAAAAATGCTATCCACTCCTATATGGAAAGATAATATTTGTAACTCATGAGACCTTTGTCAGTATTAGGGTAGTTGGAGGGAAAAAATTATATTATGTGTATATATATATATACACACACACACACACACACATAGAGAGAGAGAGAGAGAGAGAGAGAGAGAGAGGGCACAGGGTGGGTTGAAGATGAAGGGGTGATATCTGGAGAATAAAATTAAGGGGTGAGAGAGGATTATACTGGGAAAAAGAGAAAGGAAGAGGTAGAATGGGGTAAATTATCCCACATAAAACAGACAAGAAAAAAGCATTTACAGTGAAGGGGAAGTGGGGGAAGGTGAAAGGGAATTAGTGAATCTTATTCTTGTCAGATTTGGCTTAAGGAAGGAATAACATACACACTCAAATGGGTATGGAAATTTATCTCACCCTACAGGAAATTGGGGGGAAGGGGATATAAGAGAGCAGGTGGGATGATAGAGGAGAGGGCAGATTGGGGGAGGGGGTAATCAGAAGCAAACACTTCTGAAGAGGGACAGGGTCAAAAGAGAGAATAGAATAAATGGGGGGGGACGGAATAGGATGGCGGAAATATAGTTAGTTTTTCACAACATGACTACTATGGAAGTGTTTTGCATGACTACACATGTATAACCTGTATCAAGTTCTTTGCCTTCTCAATGAGGGTGGGTGGGGAGGGAGGAAGGGAGAAAATTTGGAACTCAAAGTTTTAAAAACAAATGTTAAAAATTGTTTTCACATGCAACTGAGAAATAAGATATACAGGCAATGGGGTACAGAAATCTATCCTGCCCTATAGGAAAACAGAAGGGGAAAGGGATAAGAGAAGGGGGGAGGGTGATAGAAAGGAGGGCAGATTAGGGGAAGGAGCATTCAGAATGCATGCTGTCTTGGGATACAGGGAAAGGCAA